ATCTTAAACTGTGTGTGCCAGCACAAACATCACTTGTGGGAGAAACCAAAGTGAGTCAAGGTTCATTAGCCACATATCCACTCCTAAACATAGGTTAATACTGGATTGGTGATGCTCGCTGCACTTTATTCTTCTCTTTTCTGTCATCTTTTTATATTCTTTTCTCTTCCCCTCTGTTTGGTTCTATTCTATCTCTTCTGCTTGCTTCACAGTTTACTTGTGCTTGTGACAGTTTTTCTGTTGTACTTTCTCGACATATCCCTCAGCTTTCAATTCAGTCTACAGAGTTTTATTAAATTGTACTTCTAAATTACTTGTCAAGGTTAGCAGAGCTGGCTGTTAGAATTTATTAATGAGGCCGCACCTTTAGGGAGAGCTAATAAAAAAGAAAATCAGCCCTGCTCTTACCCCAGGACATTGTCCAGCGGTTGTTATGTTAATCACTTAGGCCTAATTAATTCTATGCATATCATTAGCAAAATGGGGATTCAAATGCCAGCATGCTTTAATTACTGTTGTAGAAGTCATCTACATATCTGCAGTGAAAGGTAGCCGTCTGCCAGTGCTAATTTACTTGAACCCTTCTCATCTGTGCTGCATAATGAGAAAATGACACGTAGACGTTTCCAGAAATAGAGGAGAAAACAAACAGCTTGGTAGTGTAATCTCATGACATCATCGTATTTAACAACATTGACATCACCTGATTGGCCTACACGTGTTTCAGAGATTGTATGACTGACCATGCAAAACCTGTTCTCAACTCTTTCACAGGATGTTTAGCAGTATCAAGATGATCCACTGTGTGGGTGTGTGTGTGTGTGTGTGTGTGTGTGTGTGTGTGTGTGTGTCTCAGGGGGATTTCCTGATATAATCTCCTGTCCTTTCAGTCCTAATAAACGTCATTCAGTGTGCCACCCACAAATCCCTCGACTTACTGCTGTTATTGAGACGACGTGGGAAAAGGGCACACAACGAACTCACCACCTCCTTCCTTTTCTGTTTGACTTTAAATGACTGAAAACACCACGACCCCGTGTTGTAGAACGGCAATGAATTAACCTTGAACCTGAGATGCCTGAAATACACAAAATGAAGAATTTCCAATGAGTGGCACAGACAGTATTATAGATCTTGTCAAACACGCTGTCAGAGCTGATGTGAATATTGAAATGAATATATCATTATAATTGCTGTTCCGTTATTAAGAATTAAATTTAAGTTAAAAGAGTCAAATCTGGGGAATGCTGCTGCTTTTTGACTTATTTGGGACTCAAAGTGCAGGTGTTTCGACTCCAGCCATCACCTATTCATGTTTGAATTATACTGTACTCATGCCATATCACTAACTCTCCTGTAGTTTCAGATTCCACCACTCCCTCCTGCTCTGCAGCAACCCTGTTCCCGCCATTCGCCTCACCTGAGCCTCTCCCCCCACCTCCCCACCTGCATCTCATTCCCTTATTAGTCCCTAATGCTTCCAGCTTCACTTTTCCTCTGCCCTTTGTCTAAAGTCCTTACAGTAATATTTAGGATTTATCAGGACTCTGGACTTCATTTCCAAGACTTGAGGCTTACTGGTAAGTTACAAAATAGTTAACTTTAGTCTTTCTTTCTATTTTTTTTGATTTGCGGTCAACCAGCCAAATACTCAGGTTATAGATGCCCTTGCTTTGAGAGAGCCGTGCCAAAAGGTTGCGTTTAAATTACACAAAATTTTACAAATACCAAGATGATCTCTGCCAACTTTAAACAGCTCCTTAATTAATCCTCAACTTGCACACATAATTAATTGATATACATGCCCCCCCCTGCAGTCTCAAACAGTGCTTCCCTGCTGGGGAAGTTAATTGTCAGGTTAGAAGGTTCGCCTCCAGAGGATTTGTGCTGTGAATTATAATGATTTCAACTTTTTCTTCCACAGTCGGTGTCGCTAGTCTTAACTACATAATTAATTATGTATCGCATCCCAATGTATCACATGCACTGTATTATCCACAATAGATACGATCTGTTGGCAGTTATGGATAGAAAAAAGTAGGAATATTCATTATTTTATGATGTAAACAAGGATATTGTTTCATATTTCATAATCCTATACTCTGTTGATAATTTGATATTTTTGTGTAAATAAAGTTTTACTAAGAGATAACCTCCCTGATGCCCACACACTGCCCATGATAAAAATGATAAAATACCCTCTACTGTGACCCAATGTGCAAGGAAGCATACATCCAGTACATAAAGTTGGATAGATATTTATATATATCGTATAAGGTTCACGGCGGCCATCTTTAGAGACGCACTCTTGTCCTCAATCAGCTGAATAAGATTGTTCTCCTCGGGCTACAGAACAGGCGACTGGACTCAATATATTTTCTTTGTTCAAGTGTTTCCCCAGAGTGCTTGAGATGGGATAGAAAAATTACCACCTTGGCCAAAGGATGCCATGTCAACCAACGTTTCCCCAGGTCGGCTCACGTTCATTCCAAAGTCATCCAAGACATTGAGAAGTAAATGTGTGTGTCAAACATCTTTTCCCCAAAGCTCATCACTTTCATTTAATTCTGAAAATATATACTGTGCAGAAACATTCATGGTCTTCCTTATAAAAAAAGGGCCAGAAATACGTATCTCTCTGTACAGCTAAATAATTCAGCAGTTTCTCATTATCAACTCCACCCCCGTGAAGAGCAGACACCTTAAAACTTCACAAAGGCATGTGGGTGTCTTCGCACTCCATCGCCTCTCCGCGCTACAACTAAATCTGGCATTATTCTAATTAATGAGACAAGTTCATTAGTGCTCTCGGGGTTAATGTGTTGTCCTACAGCAGATTAGTGAAGGGAATTCAGTGTTGCTGGAGCATCCTAATTAGATCACAGTGGGTGCAGCCTGCTTGAATAGATGGAATAATGAAAGTCGTCACTCTTCGCAGCGGCAACTTCATTACTGCGCCCTAGCGCTGCTCATAGAAGGCCCAACGTTCACCTGGAAATGGATTCAATTATATGTATCAATAAAGCAGTACCAGCTCTTTCTTGTTTGGATTGGATGTCCTGATGATGAGGATTAGTGGCACCAACTGCCATCCAAAGGACTGAGATGGTACTGCAGACATGAATGAGGAAAATGAAACTGCCCCTCAACACTAAATGGCAATACACCAGATGGAAATTTGCTCATGTCAAATGGATGGTAGCGGAGGAATAGTGCTTTAACTACATACTGTATACTGCTGCATACAAACATCTTATTTTACTTTAAATCTGGACTAATCGGTACGTTTGTATTTATGGAGGAAATGACTGAAATGTGAGACCCACAGATAATTATCAAAGTTAGCTAGTAGCTAATCGAAGTTAGCCACCAGCTGGTAAACATAGTGAAGTATCCCGCAGCTAAAGACAGAGATGTTCCCTCAGCAGTTGGTAGAGACCAAAATAGAGCTAAAAGCAAAGTTAATATCAGACTTGCATTCGTTATATGGCCTGAAACACGACTTTAAATGTGTTAGGTGTCTGCTAATAAGCAACTGTTTGCTAACATGTTCCCCGTAAGACCTTTATAAGTTGATGTGTGTTTACGCTTTGTTGCACTTAAATTTGTCTTCAAAATATAGGCCTACTTTACTAAATTGTTAAGCAGAGAGAGTAGCATAATTAAGCGGGCAGTATAGCTATCACTGAGGTTGCATCCTTTGTAGTTTTTAACAACTCAGCAATTAAGCAATTTGGGGATGGGATAACATTTACATAGAGGTTATTTTAAATAGGCAGAAATAGAATATAATAAGTATGTATGTTTTCTTGCATGTATAATCACCTGAAAATAAGAATAGTTATGTTTACGTTATCTTAGCAAGTGTTGTTTATGTCTACATATGGAGTGAGTCCAGCCGCCATGTTTCTACAGTAGCCCAGAAGGGTCAAACCAAACGCTGGCTCTAGATAGGGCCACTTGCGCTTTCTTGTCGGCTACCGTAGTTTCCCTACTCGCTTGGCATACGGGAGAAGTTTCAGTTGGTTGCAATCAGCAAACTCATCGCTAGATGTTACCTGTAACTGCTTTGATTCCAGTATTTTTACGTTGAATATATTTGTGAGATTTAAATGAGTTTGTTTCAAGGTCTTGGACTCCGGTCTATGGTATTCCTTAAATCCTGACCTGAACTCAGTACAAGAGCATGAAATAAGCCAATTTACAATCTTGTTCCACATGTCTAATTGTATCAAATGTGTTTAGTAGCTGGCATTTGATATGTGGACAATTCCAGCAGCCATTCTTTTGTTTAGTATGATTTATTTATTTAGCCTACTTGAGTGTATGACTGCACAAATTCAAATATCATTCCCTCTTGTTTTGTTTTCTTGTTTGTCTCACATTAATCCCACTGCCTCGAAGCAGTTTTTTATCATTTTCTGTTAAGCTTCTAAAATTAACCTAATCTTCTTTGCACGTCATCCCACCCACTCGGCCTTGTCCTTCGAGCCCATGCTCATCTCCCGTTTTTGTAGTGTTTTCTAAGAGGAGAATGTTGAGATAAGTGGCATATAACACTCCAAAAGCAGACACAGCCAGTGTCTTTGTGATTACGATGCAGAGGGTGTTGTCTTTGAGATAGGGACAAGAGGAGGAGGAGGAGGAATTGAGGGGGATTATGAGGCTAATTCCCTTATAACTTTTCCCTCATTAATCTCTGTGGAGGGATACGAGATCCTTTAAATGCTAATGCCTAATAAAGATGTCAGCGGTGACATTTTACAGTTGCGGCGCAGATGTGAACAAAATTGACCGTGTTGTTGTGGAAGAACTTTTCTATCTTTACTTATATTACTTGCCTCACATGTTAATTTGAAGAATTCTCTTAGGATTAGACATAAAAGGTGTTATAATAAGCAATGCGCATACTTATGCTTCTTTGGCAAGTCACAAAGTCAAACATTTTGCGCCAACGTTGAACGTAACACCCCCCCCTTGTCCTCACAAACAACTCTTTCCAGAGGAATCAAACTTTAATTCAAACACAAGTTGATTTGGTTTAATTTAAGCACAATCTGCTCTATTTACAAGAAATGAGTGGAGGTCAATATGGCAACAAGATGAAGAACAAATACATCCTCATTTGTCAGCAAAGGACTTTCACAGCAAACACCGACGGACAAAAATCAAATCCTGTATTTCTTTAAAAGCACCCATTGGTCAAATAAAAACAAATGGCAAATAAGTCACTGGGACCTCATCTAATAATTCACACCTTACAATCCCTTTATACAGAATTAGTATAAAAAAAAAATTAAGGTAGAACATGAAATGTACTCTTCCTCCTTTTCCTTTCCTTTTCCAAGGACAAATCATTATCTAAATATCCCTACTGGGGGGATTTGAATGTTTTTGACAGTCATTCTGTTGAGGCTTCAATACTGAGCAGGTTCCTGATGCCGCCGGACGTTTGTCAGCGTCACCGCCAGTCACAGCACCCTTGGGAGTTAAATGAGAACATGTCGACACTAAAGGTTTGCATAATATCGATCTCTGTTCTCATAATCTCTGTTGGCAAACCCAGCATCCTTCTTGCCGTGCGGGATTCGTCCAAACGGCGCGTGGTCGTTGAAACACGTGTCAAAGACCTCGTCCACTATTTTCTCCGCCTCCTGTCGGCTGATTTTCCTCACAGCTAGGATGGAGCGAAGGGCGCGGCCTCTGACGCACGCCTGTCCCGAGGAAAAAACACGATCACAGTGTTAAGACTACAGACACAGCCCTGATACCTGCCAGCAAAAGTCACATTTATCCCAGCGCGGGTACCTGATGATGCTGCTTGAAGCCAAAGTTGAATCTGGAGACTTCGTTGCTAAAGGAGCAGTCTTCACTGAGGTTAGCTGCCCGTATCTGAAATAATGACACAAAAAAAGTCTTGTGTGAGCAAGCAAACGCAAATTTTAGGCAGGATAATAACTTTTTTTATTGAAATTCTAATGAAAACATGGGCACATCATTTTCTAACTCACAACAAAACAGTGTACGGAGAAAATGAGATGTGGATGAATGAGATTTATCACAACCCCTTTCCCAGGTCTCAGTCAAATGTGGATACATTGTGGATACATTGTGTTTATGAGGGAACATATCAAAGACTGAAAGAAAACTGCATTCTCCAAGCGATTTCAAGGGACCTTAAGGTTAAGAGTAAACACACACTAGAGCACCAAATGTGTATCAATCCGCTGATGAGAATAGTCCCTGAAGAAAGAGACTACAGTGGCATCAGTACGCATTTTTGACTGGTGATTCGTGACAAAAGTAACAATGCCGAAGATTGTAAGACACAGCTGAAACTGAATCACACAGTAACCAATGTTTACACTGCACATACATTACATACAACATATTGTCGCTCACCTCAGAACAGGCCAGATGTCTTAAGTTGTCGAACCAGTCCACGTGGGCCCGACAGTGGTCGAAGGCGTGGATGAGCTCATGCGTGACCACTCGGTTCATGTGGGACTGCTGGTGGATGTTGTTCTGACACAAAACAATCTGCGAACAAAACGCAAAGCTCATTATTGGTGAGCAGTCGCTTTCTCTTAACGCCATCAGAACTGGCTTTTATCTCCATCAATGCCAAGACCCTCTTTCTTACTTGAGAGGACGCCGCGTCAAAGCCACCGCTGACTGACCCGTCACAGTCCTCACAGGAGAAATGTCGGTCTTTCAACACTTTGCTGCAGTGAGAGGAGAAAATAAAGTCATCTTAATTTGTTTTCTTTTGTGTAACAGTTACAGCTTTAAAGTACCCAGAATTACCCAATATTAACTAGATACTGCAATTAAACATGAAACATATTTCAATGTTTGTACATGCATGTAGTAGATGCTCAAAACACAAACGATTAAAGGACACATTCAATTTAATTTGAGAGAAATCCTTATTATTCATTCATTATTGTCATGATAATTATTACTTACAAACTACCACAAGTTTATTATTATTAAATAACGTTAGATAGTAATAGCATTAGTAGCATTTTCAAAGCTATAATCTGATAAACTATAAGTCCCAGGCTTTTTGCAAGGCTATGAGCTTTACAGTTGAAGGTAATAAACAAAAGAAACACTTATTTCATTTTTAAATCAAACATACCATCCTGAGCTTTTCATGGCACTGAGGAGGAGTTTGGCATACGGACCTCAGAGAAGCACAGAGAGAACAGTTAGAGCTGAATGTATGAGGCATTCACTGACAGAAACCAGTGCTAGCTAGACTAGCTAATGCTACACGATGCTACTATTCTGACAGCGTGGCTATAATGTCAACATTACACGGGTATGTGAAATCACTAACACATTTGACAGCAACCTCTTAGTCAGACATGATATCCGCTGTTCCCTGCTGACATGACATTCCCTCTTAAGGGCTAACAAGCTCGTTACAACACTCACTAGTTTCCGTCGCGAACTGCAGCATGACCTGGCATTTGTGGTTGAACGTGAACAGGCTCTCTGTGAGCGACCTGCCCTTGTATTTTGCCGAGTTTCTCTCCGGGAATAAGTCGTATCCATATTCCTCCTCTTGTTTAGGCTGCTCCATTGTGAGAAATGTTAGCATCAGTTTAGCTACCACTAGCTAGCTAGCAGGAGAGGTCATCAATATTTGGTAGATCACGTGGTCCCAAGAGGTCAAAGGTAAATTAATGGGAATATGTATTTGTAATCTGATTGTTCTCATACAAAAGTCAGGAAATAAAATTCACTTCAATGTAACATAAAAAAACATTTAAATTATTTTTGTTCCCCCAACGCAGTTTAGTTAGAGATATAGAGAAGTATAGATCATCTATTCGGAACGTGTAGGCAGGTCGTTACCTCCTAGCGCAATGCGTGGACCAAAGCCAAAAGCGAGCCACCAAACAGTAGACAGTCATGGGGGGGCACATAATCCAAACCGAGGGCTGCACCAGTTAATAATATGATACAACCACAAACATACCAACGTCCTTTGACCACGAATCAAACCGATACCTGTGTAATGTGCAGCTTTCTTTTCTGTCAGTTGTTTGCGGACTTTTACAAACTGACACCTGAGTAAAATGTTCTTGTAATAAATGATCGGTTGCGCGGTTGTAACATAGATGATCTTTGGCCCAGCCTCAGCAGCGCAAAGGCTGCTGGTACCCGGGTGTCATGGCTCCGAACGTAAACAGAAAGCTATGAATAACGACACATTTTGTTGTATTATTTAGCCAAAATAACTGCAGCTACATTTTAACTGTACCTATCAGCGGGAAAAACAAGTGCCAGGTATTTTACAATCTTCAAATAGCTACATTATCTCTTACATTTTCTTTATTTGCTCTAATTGTTTGGTATTTTTCCTAGCTAGCTAGCTGCTAGTCGCGCAAAAGCATGACAATGTGATGCTCGTGTTTTCCTCTTGACTGCAACACCGACTTCAATACTACAACTACAGCAACAAATGTTAAGAGTTTCTCTCAAACAAATGTCTGTTTTACAGGAAAAAACATGTCCGGGGGAAACAAAGCCATTGAGTTACAGCTTCAGGTGCGGCAAAATGCGGAGGATCTGCATAGCTTCATGGCGGACCTGGAGAGCTGGGAGACAGACATAAAGAAGAAGGACGATGAGCTGAGGACGGGAGGACTTCAGGAGGCCCAGGTTTGTCGCTGTTGTACACATCTCAGGAGTAGCCAATGTTCTGGGCTATCTTCAGGTGTCAGTAGTGTGTTGTCTCTTTGTTGTAGAAGACGCTCCCTCCTGTGCGCAACAAAGACTACAAAACAAAGATGAGGGAAAGGAAGAAGAAGAAGAAGAAGAAGAAGAAGAAGAAGGAGCCAACGGGCGGCGGCGACGCAAAGGCTGAGGAGCCCAAGGAAGACTCAAGGATAAAGGCATACGACTATAGATCGTGGGACAAGTTTGACGTGGTAGCTAATGTATTCTTAAAAAATGCACTCAACATGATCGGTGAGGTCATGGAGTAGTTGACTAAAGATGAATGCTTCTCTGATCGCAGGACAAAGCTCTGTCCGAGATGGATAAGGAGGAAAGTCCTGCAGAGTCAAATGAGTCCGACTGCGAGGAGGCGACAGCTGATCAAGAGAAAGCGCTGTCTGAGAGAGAAAAGGTAAACACTGTATGAGAAGTACTGCAATAAAACAAACCGAAGAGAAGAAAAAGTTACCGTTTCCTAAAGCAGATTATACTTTGATGTTCAGGGTAACGCGTTTTTCAAAGATGGGAAGTACGACGATGCTGTCGAGTGTTACACCAGAGGGATGGCTGCAGATCCTTACAACCCTGTGCTTCCCACAAACCGAGCCACCTCCTTCTTCAGACTCAAAAAGTAAGCGGCGTAGGTTAAGAGGCGGCTGTATTGCACTATAAACGATGGTTTAAGTGTTTTTTCAATACATGTAATAACATTAGGAGGATGTGTGTTTTAGAAAGAGGTTTTGTTCCCTTGTAAATTATCAACAAATTTTTTCCTTGCAGGTATGCTGTGGCAGAGTCCGACTGCAACTTGGCGATAGCTCTGGACAGCAACTACTTCAAAGCGTATGCACGGAGAGGAGCAGCACGCTTTGCACTGAAGAAATATGAATCTGCTTTAGAAGGTGACAAACTGTCTAACTGGGTTAGAGAACATCTGTTTAACTTGAGCGCGCTGAGATAACAACACAAATCTGTTTCTGAACAGATTATGAGACTGTTCTCAAGCTTGACCCCGGGAACGGGGAAGCAGAGAATGAAGTGAAAACAATCAAAGAGGTGAGTGGGGAAGGTTTGGGGGGGTTAGCCTATTTTACCAAGTTTTCTTCTCTTTCATTTCCTGTCTTTCCTTTGCTGCTTTCAGACTCTCAGTCATCAGGCACCAGCCGCCCCGAGTGGAGCCCCACAGCCACAGGAGGCTCCCACAGCCGACCCTGAGCAGCAGAGACTGATGGAGGAGCAGCAGAGACGACAGGAGGCGGCTGTACAGAAAGACAGAGTAAGCTGTGGTTTAGTGTTTGCCTTGTTATTTGCCACTTTTTAGCTTTTCTAGCTGTGGTTAAGAAGCGTGCAAAGGTGGCCTATAAGGGCAACATTTGAGAACATGCAAAAGAGTGAGGTGTTCTCAACTCAAGCTGTTTATATGGAAATATATGGAGTTTTCCAAATGTGCCTTTCAGGGGAACGCCTATTTCAAAGAGGGGAAGTATGAAGCGGCTGTTGAGTGCTACAGCAGAGGCATGGAGGCGGACAGCATGAACGTCCTGCTGCCCGCCAACAGAGCCATGGCCTTCCTCAAGCTGGAGAAGTAAGCCCCCGAATTTTCTTTCTCCAGCACACTTTTGTTTATTAGAGTGAAAAGGCGATCAAACCTACAATTGTTTGTTTTCTCTGTTTGCTGCAGGTATAAGGACGCAGAGGAGGACTGCACCAAAGCCATTTCTCTGGACATCACTTACTCCAAGGCTTTCGCCCGTCGTGCCACCGCCAGAGTAGCTTTAGGGAAACTGGGGGAGGCCAAACAAGGTGCTGAATAGAACAGCACTGTCTTTCAAAGGCCAACCGCAGCAACTACATTTTGTCTGTTTTCTTTAATGTCTGGAAGACCAAAAAGAGATTTGCCAGCAAATTGCACTGAAATAATATGAACATGGATCATTGTTATTGACTGTTATGTTGCATATAAACATATTGTGTGTGTGTGTGTGTGTGTGTGTGTGTGTGTGTGTGTGTGTTACAGATTTTCAAGAGGTGTTGAAGCTGGAACCAGGGAACAAGCAGGCCCTGAATGAGCTCCAGAAACTCCAGATTGTACGTTTTAAGATCCTCTTAGAGACTGAAGTTTATTCCCCTTCTGTGTTTTAACTCCCACACGTTATGAGAACAGGCATCAGCAGAGATGCTTGAATTTGGTCTGACTTTATTCGGTTTGATCTTCCACAGACTTCACTTCTGTTTTCTTGATGTCATTCTGTTGTCAGGACGTAACCTCCAGCGGCCTTCTCCAGACACCAGACGGCACACAGAGGAGAACCGTTCAGCCACTAGACAAACCAACACATCTGCGGTCAACGGTGAGTTTTTTCCCCTCAGTGCAGAAGTCTTTTTAGATGCAAATACATTCTGTGCTACACCGAAGGTAGTAAAGGCAGAGATCAGTGGACAGGTCTGGTGCTAAAAACACTGATGTGATCTAAATCAATTTGTTGATTGACATAAAGTTAATGTTTAATATCATTGACTCTCATTAGTTAACTTTTGGAAGTTTATTCCTCATGTATACCACATGCTTTAGCATTATTTGCCCAGCAGGTGGCATGTAGAGTGGACATCTGGATTCTGTAATGTTCATCTCGTGGTATCTTGATCTGGATCGTTTGGCATTTGACTGATTCTGAACATCCGCTGCTCTTCAGAAACCTCTGAGGAGGATCGATATCGAGGACGTGAGCGGCGAGGCGACGGTGTCCGAGGTGGAGTCAGGTGGGTCCAAGTTCTTCGTCCAGGAGGCGCCGAAGGAGGCTGAGGATGAATCGTCTCCGCTGTCGACGTCACCCATCGCGAAGATGATCAAGATTGAGGAGATAGCAGAAGTCCCCTCGCACACGTCTGACCAGTCAGTGGCGCCGCCTCTCTCCTGTGTTACATTTCATTTCTGTCTGTAAAGCACAGAATGTGGTAGTCATTTGTGGAATGATTATTCTCGGCCTGTAAACAGATGTTTTGCCTCTGTTCCCCAGACTCCCTGTGAGCAGGCAGACCAAACAGCCGGCGCAGAGGGAAGCCGTTCATCCTCCTGAACCGTCGCCAGCCAGCCCCCCCACCTCGACAGGAGCAGACCCGCCTCCTCCGCCCACCAGCAGCTTCCAGCTGGAGGCCGACCTCCGCACGATCGGAAACCAGCCCGAAGTCATCTACAGATATCTGAGGGTGAGCTGTGTGTTTGTAGAATACAAATAAATCATTTACTGGTGACACGGTCATATTTGCATGTTCAGACAGTATATGCTGTCAGCACAGCGTTGGTATTGACATATGCAGATTAAGCCAAGTCTCCTGTCTAAGAGCTCTGAGTGCAGTGGAATGGATGTTTATTGATAATTCTTTTATGATTTTCATGATTCAATACTACTAGATACAATATCTGTGATGAATTTCACACACACACATATTGGTGATCGACGCAGCCTGAATGTCAGGGTCATCCTGCATTATTTACGTCTCACTGAAGTTAAAAGTCGTCCTTGTTTTTTGTTCTCGTCTCGCAGCAAATCAAACCCGAGGCGTTCACAAGCATTTTCCGCAACTCCCTTGAACCCGACATTCTCAATCAGCTCCTGAGGACACTGCACGGTTTCTATATCAAGTGAGTTTTTAAAGATGCGTCTAGAAGATCTGGCTTTCTGTCCAGCCCCTCCCCTTTATGCATGTAGTATAGTGTGCACCGCGCATTAACAGCAGTCTCGTGCAGGAACGAAGCAGCGGCCGTCACGCTGGAGATCCTCAGCAGCCTGGCGAGTGTGAGGCGCTTCGACATGGCTGTCATGTTCCTGTCGTCCCCGGAGAAGAAAGGTGGAGTCTCCTTGGCGTGCCGTTTGCGGTTGACTGATACTTTTCACCCACTCATTCAGTCATATTGATGATGTGCTGTACTACTTTTCCCCCCAGTGCTTAAAGAACTGTTTGACTTCCTTCACCAAGCGGAGCTGGAGGGATCATCTGTCGCAGCGTTACAGAAGAAGTACGGTGTGTGACGCCGTGAGCTCTATAGACTTTAAACCACAGGACTATATTATTTTCAAAGCCAAAGCAACAATGTTGTTGTATTCTACCACTGAATAAACTTACATTCAATTCACTTTGATTCAGTTGGACTGCTGTGTTATGGAAATACAACGTTGTCTACTTTCTAAAGTCAGAAATTCACAAATTGTTGATTGTAATTCTGACTTTAGTGCATTTTAGAGTTAAAGTCGATAAAGACAGAGAGTGTAGAATCCTGTTCCTTATGCAAAAGCTAATGTCATCAATCATCTTACTTGAAAAAAATCTGCAATGTTACTGTGTAGATGTTTAACCATTTACTGTTTTCCATAAATGTATCAGCATGCAAACCTGAAACAACTAGGCGATCATACCCCTACCAGAAGGGACGTTCCATTAACAGGAAGTGGGAGTTTCCAACTTCCCAATACTTTTTGAATGCACCGCAAGTATTGATTGGTCTCTGTGAGCCCTGTTTGAATGTTCTTCACGTTCTAAACTGGCTCAGTTTGACCGCCGAGAACTCTGTTCTGCAAGTACACATTTTAAATCTCTTTTCAGAAGCTGAACAACAATTAAAGGTGTATTTTGTAATGTGTGTGTGTGTGTGTGTGTGTGGGCTGTTGTTGATAATCACCACTGCAGTTAAAAATAGTTTTGAAAGCAGTGTTGTGTTATCTCAGATGTGTCACATGGTGATGAATTGGCACTGGGTAATCAGAAAAAGTACAGAGGTTCATTGTTTATTAAGCATAATAGTGCATAGTGTTTGGCAAGACAAATGTAAACATATCATGAAAGAGAATAAGATTAGCTTTGTGTAATTAAAACCCCCCAAAAGTTATTACTCAAGCACACATCATCATTTCTTTATAGCTGTCTAATCTTGTTTCAGGGTCACAAAGAGGTTGGAACCTGTTGGGGAAACGCCCTATTCAGGTCGCCAGTCCATCACAGTCAGAGTACACAATGCTTGAGCAAATACAGCCGTACGGGCACAGAAAGTGTCATTAATAACAAGATTAACAAACTACAACTTTGCGCTCCGCTGTGTGCCGAGCATTTAGCAGATCTGAAGAATGTGTGCAGTGTTTTTCCAGTGTTTCAACATCCGCACCAGTGAGGATCTACAGGGAAAAGAGCATAAATCAGAGTCGGATAACGGTTTTAAACTTTGTCTAAATCCTCTCAAATCCTCCAGCGACAGCCTACCCGAGACACTGACTGTCACGTTGAGCGTCGCCGTCTCCCCGGTGAATGTGTTCTCAGCCTGGCAGCTGATGGACTCTTTGGAGACTTGGCGGTTCACGGTGATGTCAATCACGCTACCCGCCATCGTCTGCCCGTACACGGTCCACTTGAAGCTGCAGGATGGAGAGCAGTCGGCCGAGCAAACGAAGCTCGCCGTGACCCCGATTTCAAGATCCCTCGGTCCGGTGATGACCACATAGGTCGGTCCGTCTGTAAGAGAAGAGCCACAAAAAACCGACTCAAACAGGCGTCGAGATGCAGAAGAAGCCCATCGATCTTTTGAAGGGGAATCATTTCTTACTTCAACCCCTGATATTTGCTTACCAGGCACCTCGACTTCGGTCACAGCGGAGCTGTTTTGCCCCGTCACCGGGTTGGATGCCATGCAGGAGAGGTCGGCCGCGTACGGAGGTATTACAGGTGTGAAGGATATGGAGGCATTTGTAGACAGTACCGCGCCTTTGTAAAACCAGGTGATGGGGCAGACGGGGAAGCAGTCGGTTGCACATCGCAGCTCTGTTGTGGATCCAGCCTGAACCAACATCACCTCGCCCACCGGCCCTTCGTTGGGTTTCTCAATGAGCACCTCATTTGGCCCGTCTGGGTGTTTTAAGACAACTTATTGAATACTATGTACTGATGAATGAGGCCACAAGCACATTGAGATCCCCGACCCTGGTATACTCACAGTTTACTTGCATCAGGTAGCCGACAGACAGGGTGGGGGTTCCACCCACAACTATCACCACCAGCGTGTTGTCGTGGATGGTGCGGTTCTCCCCCTCCACTACCAGACACTGGTACAACCCATCATCCTCTCGCAGGAGAAAACTGAAGGTGACCGTGGTGTTGTCAGGGGAGAAGTGCACCCTCTCAGACGCTGGCATTTGCCGTTGGTTCTTGAGCCAGCTAATAGCGGCGGGTTGCTGAGGGCCAAGGCACTGCAGAGAGAAAGGCTTGCCTGCAACCGGCTGGGCCTGGGAGGTGGGCCGCACTGAGAATGGGTCTGTGCAGAGAGAATATTCAAATATCAAGTGACGGCAAAAGCGATGAATAATAACTATTGCCACAAGGCTCTTACAGTATATCACGGTGGCGGACTGTCTGAGGGGCTCCTGCAGCATGCCAGGGGGCCATTTATCATGTATCTACCACAAGGGAACACATTGCTCAAACCAATGAAAAGAAATCTGTGGGAGCAACATCGCGGACTCACCGGTGACAGTGAGGTTCATAGTGGCGGTGATGGTGGCGTTAGATAAAGTGTTCGTCGCCTCACAGGTCAGAGGCTCGATTTTAGAGTAGTCGCTAATAGTGAGATCCAGCCGATCGTTCTCGAAAGGCTTCCCCATGAACGTCCAAGTGAAATCGCAGGACGGAGTGCAGTCGGCGAAGCACTCGTATGTGTACTGTTTTCCTATTGCCACTGCGCTGTCTCCGGTGATGGTGATGTTGGATAAACCTACAGATGGGGATGACAAGAAGACATTTGAAGGTATTGTGCTCAATCCTCTACTTCAAATGATCCAGGAGGTGGATTTGTGGTACAACATTTACAGATACATTCTACCACATGAGTGTAGTCAAAATGCAATTAAGGAGTGAAAGCAGTGTCTCATAATGGCTTCTAAACTTCCCCGTTCTTTAGCTTCAATTTGACCTTTAAACGATACTCTCGATGTTACTCGTGTTTGTTGCTTATTTGTTGTTCTCATTCGAGGTAAGTTCTTTCACATACTCGCCAATTGCAGCTGCAGGGACTTCTCGATGTCGAGATGTGAGACGGTTTCCTGAGCCTTACACGTCACAATTACATCTGAGAGGAAATTGTTAACAGGCAGAGTGACAGAAATGGTGCTGCCTTGTGCAGTAATGAGCGTCTCCCCCATCCAGGTAACGATCCACGAGAAGCTGCAGGAGGGGTGGCAGTCGGCCGAGCAGGTCAAGTTGGATGTAACTCCTGCAGTCAGGAAGGCTGGACCGCTGACATGTATATTTGTTGGTCCGACTGAAAAGTTGGAAATTAGTTTAAGGCATTCCTCTTAAACAAAAAAAACCTGAGTTTGAATTCATTCTTTTTTTTTTTTTTAATTACCAATCACTTGCAGCATCTTTTGGGTGGTGACTGATATTTCCGTAGCGGGATTGACTGCCGTGCAGGCCAGGTTCAGCGTTGGCGCCGGATCCACCAGCTGCAAGCTCAGCTTCGGGCCCTGAGAGGTCTCCTTACCCCAGGTCCAGCTGAACTGGCATGTCGGGTAGCAGCTGGCTGAGCACTGGAACTCATAAGGCATTCCCAAAGTCATTACGTCGACCCCGCTGATCACCACCGAGGATGGCCCATCTGCGGTCGGAGATGGGAGAGACAGACAGACTCGTATGGGGCTTGCAAGGTTTCATAATTACTTTCAGGCATTTTATTTATTGCATGCGTTTATTTAATTGAATTGTGGGATAGGCATTTCTATATTGTTACTAGGAGCTCGAGCTAGAGTGGGAGGTCAGTAGTTGGACTTGGCATTGGACATTTAATTCAAAGAGCAGCGATCATCTGATCACCAGATCTACAGCTACACTCCTCAAACCTGTTGGACACTGCTCAGCTGCGACGACCCTTGTGTATACTCACAGTTGACTTGCATCTTGTAGCCAACAGACTGGATGAGGGGCCCCCCCTCTGCCACCACACATTGGTATAAACCGTCATCGGCCTGCAGGAGAGGACCGAAGGTCATCGTGACGTTGTCAGGGGTGAAATGCACTCTGTCAGAGGCTGGCATTGGCTGTTTGTTCTTCAGCCATGTGATGGAGGCTGGGTTCTGAGAGCCATCACACTGCAGGGAGAAAGACTTGCCTGCCACTGGCAGGTCCTTGGAGGTGGGATGCACCGAGATGGGGTCTGCACAGGGAGAATGAACATGGAAGACATGATGTGAAAACCAATTTTTTTTTTTTCATAAAAAAAATCAAAGTGCCGCAGGCTCACCAATGACAGTTAGGTTCACCGTGGAGTTGAGACTGGCGTGAGATATAGAGTTTGTTGCCACACAGGTCAGAGGCTCAATTTTAGAGTAGTCGCTTAAAGTGATCTCAAAGTGACTGGCAAACTTTTTCTTGTCCCCCTCATGCAAGATGGGTATCTCTATTCGGTCTCCCTGGTAAGTCGTCCCCATGTACTTCCACGTAAAGCTGCAGGTTGGGATGCATGCCGCGATGCATGTGAATGTGTACGTTTGTCCCATCGTCACTGTGGTGTCACCTTCTATGCTAATGCCAGATACACCTAAAGAAGGAGTTTCAGAACAAGGAGTTTGAATGTATTGTACTCATTTTACAAAAAAAAAATATATATATGCAATATAACCGGTGGGGTTGATTTCCATTCAGCTCTTTCACATACTTGCCACCGGCAGCGTCAGAGTCGTAGAGATGTAGAGATGTGAGATGGTGTCCTCAGCCTCACACGTCAGACTTTCAGAGCTGATGGTGCTGGTATATGGACTGAAAGACACGGTGTCGCCTTCGAAAGTTTGGAGTGTCTCCCCATACCAGGAAATAGTCCACCTGTAGCTGCAGGATGGGTAGCAGCTGGCCGAGCAGCTGAAGTTGGATTTAACTCCTGAAGTCAGAAAGGTTGGACCGCTGATCCGTATGTTCGATGGCCCAGCTGCAAAGTTTGGAAATAGATTTGGTTGAAGGAAGTGCCGCTTAGAGAACCCATGAATTCGACTTCAGTTTGGTCATCACTCATACCCGTCACTTGCATCGTCTTTTGGACAGATGCTGACTTCCCTGTTGCCGGGTTGTCCACTGTGCAGGTCAGGGTCTCCGTTGGCTTCGTGTGCAGGAGCTGCAGGCTCAGCACGGGCCCCTGAGTGGTCACATTACCCCTGGTCCAGCTGTACTTGCAGCCCGGGAAGCACAAGGCCTTGCACTGGAAATAATATGGGATTCCCACTGTCACCACACTGACCCCATCGATCTCCAATGAAGACGGCCCGTCTGCAATAGGACACACGAGGATGCACATTTCTTCCGATTCAAAAATATTCAAGGGAAATGAAGCCTGTGTGTTAAGAGTCAGAAAAGAGCAAAGAAAGTAAACATTTGCTGATGTGTGAGAATCACAATTAAAAGGATCTTACATGGGTTTTCCCCCATGGTTCCATCCTCCCCAGTGTCACTTGTAGAAAAACCTTGGTTATGAGAGAAGAGAATACATTAACATTAATCGATTTCCAGTCGCTCATACAACACAGAAGAATTTTCAGTAAAGAATGTCTGAATTAATGAGCATTTAACTGCCGAGATGCTGATTGACGCGAGCAGGGCGGCCTCTCTTACCTGTTAAACAGGTGAGCAACAGCAACAGCAGACCGGCTGAGTGATGATCCATGCTGCTGCAGACAATCCCAACAACTATCCACACTCTTATAACCACCCACACTCTTATAAGGCATGGGGGAGAAAAGGCCTTGCCCACTGTTATCACCCGCTAATTACAAAACACAGACAATAAATGACCTCAATGTTACTGGCAAAGGAGGGCAGCATGTAGCTTTATCAGCTGGCTCTATTCTCTGCAGAGGGCGTGCATGCGGCCGAGGTGTAGTGTGGTTTTGTCTTTCGTGGGTCGGTGGTTTCTTTTGTACCTGCCGGCTTGATTCAGGCCAGGCCATATGGCTCCGTCACTTTTTCATATCTGCCTACGGTTGCAGATGTAAAGACTCTAAACTCGATTAACCCCAGCGGCTTGATAGACTACATCTCCAGCGGCCTGACAGATCTGATATGTTTTTGGTGTTTTCTTCGGGGTTCTGTTAATGTACTATCATTACTTTATTTTTATAGTTTGAAATTGTTTAACACGAGTTGCACCCTAAGATATACATGATAGTAATAGTTGCAATAATTGCAACTACAATTTTTTCTAATCTATTAGAGGCAAAACTTTTAAATGTTTCTCCCAAACTGTCTCTCAGATATTAGAGAAAACTTTCCCCAATAAACAAAAAGGTTGATTATATTTACATTTCAATTACTGCCAGAGTCCCTATACCTTCTCTCCTACCATGACATCATCAAAAGATGTAAATCAAACCTCAGAAATGAAATCTCAGATGATTTACAGGACATCTTTGTTTGATCAAAGCACTAAGGAGTACACGCCACAGTGAGGCACTTCAGAAAGTGTTCGTCAGTCGACCGATATGAACCCTGGGTGTGTCTATAAACTGTCACTGCTGTTTGCCGACATGAGATTACAGCAAAACGTGGTCCGTGTGGGGAGGTATTGAACTGACCTTCCATTTAGATTACATTTCGACACACAAATTTCCCTGTAATGTCAATGTGCCTCATCTGGTTGGAAATGAGCCGACCCGTTGAGTGTGATTACACCACTTCTCACCACCGATCTCAGTGGTATTCCATCACCATCCAACCTGCAGGTGGAGCCACGGCTGAATCAAGACCATCAAGACCATCTGATCCTTTTGACATCCTCACAAGAGTTCTGGTTTAAAGCCTCTACACACACCTACACAGGTGTTTTTTCACTTATTGTGTGATTATGACTCACATCTCCCTCACCCTCCTGTTGTTAGAATGACAGCTTTATGACTTGTTATTAATTCTTTAGGTTTAGTGGCTTTAGGTCATTTCCAGCAAAGCTCCACCCACCAACCTGAGCAGAAGCCCTGACTGAAAACACCTGAGTCTGGTCCCGTATGGAAACCACTACAATGACATTTTGATGCAACAAAGAGATGTTGAAAGAAAGCGTCACACACATATTCATGCTGGGGACCCCACCAGATTTCTGGAATCTGTATATTCTTATTATATTTAACAAATATATATTTTATGATTTTATGATTTTCTTTAATAATATATGTATGAGTCAAACATATTTGTGTCATAGACCTCTCCCTATGGTATCGGTTTCTTCCCTGCTGTTACACATCTGGAGCGAACATGTTGGCTTGAAGGCGTGTTGCTGAAGTGGGTTAGCACAGCATAAATGTGTGAAAATGAAATGCAATTAGCTATAAACGCTTCATTTTATTTGAAAGATGTAGGCACAGTTAGCTTCGCGAGACAGTTAACTACCAGCTATAGGTAGTAGCCTTCCTTCTTTCCGGTTGTTTAGCCCTCCGGCTCCCTAGCTAGTCGTGACTTGTAATAGCACAATATGATTAGATTAGATATTAGATGATTAGATATGTTGATCCAGTTACTGAGATACAAAAATGGATTTAGTGACATTTTAAGAATCTTGGCTTGTGTGGCGCCCCAAATTGTACATATGGATACTGAAGAAAAGGTCTGAGTCTTGTGGTTCAAGTCATCATTGCATTTTATTAATTTATAGACATCAACATTTCAAATGTAACGATGTGGAAGAATCTTACTAAGTCAACAAATTCATGACATGTCCACACTTGGATATTTTCCACACCTCTCACTGGAAAGTTCAAACAGGGTTCGGCCTCCTGTTATCCTGCCACACCAATGGAGAAGAAAGCAGCGTGGTGAAACTACCGGTCCATGAGTCAATAACTCTGCACAGCTCAAACACAATTCTTTATCACAGCAAGAAAGATCTGACGGACAGAGACAAAGACGGAGAAAGAAAGAGGGGAGTTATTTTTATCATGGTAGGGACAATATGTCTGTAAATGCCATGACAGCTAATGTAATAATTCCCCCTGCTACATTAGTAAGCCTCACCTGTCACAGTGGCCAGGCAGCAGAAATGATGAAGGCCAGCAGCAGCACAGCCCAGGCCTCTTCAGGACGAGCGGACAGGTTCCGATCTGACCCTGGGCACGAGAAAAGAAACCGGTTAAAGTAACCGTGCACGGCATTGAGAGGATGTACGATGATGCACGTTTAAACCCTACGTGCTAGTTGTACTGTCTTTGAGGCTGTGGCGGTCCTCTTTGAAGCGATGTTCTGAGCCTCGCACTTGAGTGTGACCGATTTCAGCGGATGATCCACCGTCATCTCGATCACGTTGCCCCTCACGGTCTGACCGTTCACAGACGACACGTAGCGACAAGAGGGCAGGCATTCAGCGGTGCACACAAACTTGTACTTTTCTGCAATTTCTATCACGTCGGGGCCTTTGATCTGAACCTTGGATGGACCAGCTGAAAGAAAGATAGTGAGGAGAGGTCAGAAAAAGCTAATACCTGGTTCAAAAACTGCAAATGTGCTTATTAATAAAATACTTTTACTGTAAAGGTGTTCTCTTATCCCCCCCCCCACTAGTAGTGAAACTCGTTCACTTACATATCACAGCTACGTTTTGAATAGCGACGACAAACAGCCCGGACACGCTGTTGGTGGCTTTGCACATGAGAAGTTTGGAGCTGTCCATCTCCTGAGGAGTGATAGACATAACATTCCCCTGACCACTTATCCACGGGCCTTTATCTGTCTTCCAGGCGTAGGCGCAAGATGGCCGACAGTAGGTGTAGCAACTGTAGGTGTGGCTCACCGATGGATGCATCAGATCAGGGCCTGAGATGGAAACATCGGCAGGTCCGGCTAAGGTGTGAGGAAGACAAATGTACGAGTCATTAGAAAGCAAAGGCGTTCACAAAGCGCAGAAGTTGTGAATATGCTGTATAGGTTAATTACACAGACACCAACTCTAACATCATCTCATTCAGAAATAAAGAAATCAGATGTCACTTACCTAACACTTGCAGTTGCTTTGTTGTCGTAGCGTTCAGCCCTGTGTGGCTACTTGTAACTGCACATGTCACCGTTAGGGCCTCCGCCCAGCTGTTAACAGTGAAGGCTAACACGTTTCCCTGACCCTGGGCACTCTGTCCATCCAAAGACATAGAAAAAGTACATGCTCGGCAGTCGGTGTCGCACTCAACGCTGCTCACCACACCCACGGTCACGTAGTCCGGACCGATAATTATACAGTTGATTTTCTCTCCGTCTGAAAATGACACCAGTCACGATTACCACTGTGATCTAGAGACAGGATCCACTTCTCTGTATCGTAATCATACATTTATTGTGTTTTTTTGTTAGTATCTGGAGGTTCAAATGAATACAGATAGCATCTTTGATATAGGTTTTATTGTTTATTTGAATGTAAAATCACTCACTCTCATTGTTGTCATCTAGTTCAGGTTTCTCTCCATCTGTAGACAGTGCTGGCTGAAGGTCTACACGGCCAATGAAAACATATTCACGGTTATCTAAAACATTAGCATTAGGTGTCATTGTCCGTTTTTGGCTTTGGAAATGCTACTTTGACTAAACAATCCCAACTCGAGTCCACTTACAGCTTTTTATTCCAGAGCTTTCAATCGAATCACAGAGTCTTCATCAGCGGAAATAGTGGGTTGTTTTGTCAAATTGCTGTTTCGAAATGTCAAGAATGAACTTAAACGTGGACACAAAGTCATAAAAGGGCCGTGGAAGAAATAATTAGCTACTCGGCTTGCAAGCCAACAGGTTCATCCCAATAATAGCGGCCATTTTACACGTTCTTCATCAGCAGGTGGTGTGATATGGTTGAAAGGTCACCCAAAAGCTAACAAGTGGACCTTTGAGTTATTTTTGTCAAATATCTTGGCGAATTGAACAAAAAAAGCTGTGGTGGAAGAAGTATCACACCAATTAATTAAGAAAAGATAACTTATAATTTACAAGCAATAAAATGCACCGTCTCTCATTTTAATACGCTCAAGCATTTTGCTGCTGCACCTTTACACGGTCTGACCAGTAGCATGCAGTAGTTTGCCTACTTTCCTGACATAACTCTTCTATAATTAACACATGGGCTTGCATTACACCAGTGTTAAAGTGCCATTTTACATGTAAGAACGAGTATAAAGAAAAGTATGTATGTGTATTAAATCATTGGATTAGAAGTAGCACTTTACTGTTGTAGCTGGTTGAGGCGGAGCTAATTGTGACTACATTAAATAGTGTTGTGTGATTCTACAGCAATACCTCATGTTTTAAAAGCTGATATTTTTTACAATCTTCATCTTTCAAGTAGCTTTCAAATATATGAAATGGAGTAGAAAGTTTAATATTTACTTCTGACATGTCGAGGAGCAGAAGCATAAAGTAACTTGAAATGGAAAACTTAAGTAAAGTACCTGAAAGGTTTACTGTAGTTCATGATCCATTACATTTATAAAGGATATTATACACAAAGTAAAGAGTTTTCCCAATAAAAACACAGAAAACAAAAGTTTTCCCTACAGCTGTTAAAATCAGCACTTACACACTGAGCCAATGACCACATTATCACAACTAAAAATCAACTCTTCCACTGGTATTTTTGTCAGAAGGAAAATCCTTGTATTACCCGCCAGAAAAAGCAGCAACAGAAGTCTTCTGAGATTTGAGCGTCCTCCGTATTTTCTAGATATGACGGTATTATCCATTGTCCCGTACGAATCTCAGGTGTACGGCCACCAGGAAATAGACAGCCAGCCACTGCACAGTCAGTCAGTCAACATCAGCCGGCAAACAGCTCTTATCAGAGAGAGCCGAGAAGAAACATATCTGCCTTCTTAGTCACTCTAATGACAAATCCATTGCCGTCTTAATTGATGGCAGATCAAACCCCGTAGAGGGTGACATTTTGCAGATTTTACTCAGCAACAAATAAGAACTATTTACTGGTGAATATTGGGTCAGTTTTCCAGATGAGATAGATGGTTACAGAGCTACACGTCTTCGGGCCTCTGGCTCAGAGTCAGTTTCAGGGAGAGTTTTGGAGATTGTAGGATGGTTTAATGGTCAGGAGATTGACCCAAATATGGAAATGTTACAGGTCTGATCACTGTAAAAAGGAACTTGTCCCAGACAAATAGGGATTTCATATTGGAAAACACATACGCACAACAAAATGTAACATGGCATCATCTTATTCCAGCTACAGAGTAAACACCTAAAATAACATTTTGGAATTAGTCCTTTATGTTGGACCTGTTTTCATTGACTATTCTAAACATCCTTACATGAAGACAAATGGTTTATGCTCCCTGCAGTGGTTCATATGATGTGTGTGTGACAACATTTTCCACTTCTGCATTCCCAGCATTTACCTTGGTACTGTACAATAGGTGACCTCGCCCTTTGTTCCCGAAATACATCCATTATCAGACTAAATTATCAAAATGCAAACAGACAAATTAAAAAGAAAACTGCCACATAATGGCTTTACTGACCTCAAGGAGCAGTAGCTTTATGAATTTGAACATGTTGCCTATGGTTGATGGATAAATAATCTGACACACAAACACACAGCTGAGCCTCTTAACAACTGAGCATATCACATTTATTGAAACTTTAACAAACAAATCATATTATTACTTCTACACAAACACAGTCAAAGTCAACAAGAATTTTTTTTTTTGGTGCAGATTTGTATGTGTACGCAATGTGTGTACATGTGCACAATGTGCATACGTGTGCACAATGTGTGTACGTGTGCACAATGTGTGTACGTGTGTGCTCTTAAAGTGACGTCTCTCTGGAGTCCCTGGGCGGCCTGAAGGTCAGTATCTCCGTGAAAGTGTGACCTGCACAAACAGAAAAGAGAGGATTACACATCAGCCATTCTAAATCAAGAGTCCGTCCTACTTTCACATCAGAGTTCAACACTTATCAAACTGCTTTTCCTCCCCTGTTATTTCTCCTTTTGCATATTAAGTAAATGGCCCCTTCTGTGTATCGTTACACATTAAAAGAAGCGTCAAGCACCATCAAAGATCTGCAGTGACCTCCTCTGGCAAACAGCAGGTACTGTAACTACACCGAGTATGACCTGCGAATGAACATAACTAACATTTCTTACGTTTCCACTGGTCCAGCGGCAGGTCCGTGTTGTCCATGGTCTGATCATAAGGCAGCGCCTCAGTCTCCTCCTCGGCCTCTCTGTACTCGCTGAAGAAAGGCAGGTCGAGCGCCTCCGAGGCGCTCACCCTCCGCTCCGGGTCCAGGAGCAGCATCTTTTCCAGGACGCACACCGCTGCGTGGCACACATACATGTCAAGGTCAGCACAACTGGGTTTGACGCCACCAACACCCGGCTAAAGTGTACTGTACGTACCATTTGAGCTAGCTTTGGAGAAAAGGGAGTGCAAGTCTTTTTTTGGCACTTTTGGCAGACTTCTGATGTAGTTTTTGGCCTGTCAAGAGAGGAGGTGGAGAGAAAGAGGATGACAAAGGTTGGTGTGCTAAGGGACTATTTTACAAGTCAGAGAGAAGACGGGTATGGACAAGATTTTGTTGTGATGCTTAATGTCTTTCTATTGACCATTTCAGAGCAAAAGGTTTAAACCAAACACTCAGTATTAGAAAGCATTGTAACAATTACCTCTCTGAGGTTTGAGTGAGTAAACTTTGAACTACCAGCTTTCAACTTTACAGTGAGTGCATATTCTAGTGTATCTTAAGCGTGTCAGTCCGACCCCAGGGCACGACTTACGTCTTGGCTCTGTAGCTTCACAACAAAGTCAGCCGCTGGGGTTCCTGTAATCTTCATGATTTCTCTGAGCTGGTCCAGGTCTGGCAGTAGCTGTGGTCAAGAATCATCCGTTGCATGGATTTTTTACCTTTCAAGTATGAGCTTTCTTGTATAATGCTTTAGTGTAAACATGTACAGACAGTGAAAACAGGAAAATAGGTAATTAAATGATTTAATGACGAAGACAAAACCAGGCCGGTGTTGATGACAGTCAAGGATACGATCACTTCCTTTGAACAGCGGCTTCCCCAGCAGCATCTCTGCCATGATACAACCTGCCGACCAAATATCCACTGCAACAAGAGAGAAAAACGTCAGCTCTCTCGTCGTGAAACAGGGTCTCTTCGCCTTTTTTTCCTCCATTCCCGTTGACACAAAATGTGACGAGGGTTTACCAGTTTGTGTGTAGTGCATCCAGTTGAGGATAACCTCGGGCGCTCGGTACCAGCGCGTCACGACGTAGCCGGTCATTTCCGCGTCGGCCTGCCTTGCCAGGCCGAAATCAAGAATCTAAAGCAGGAGGGGGGGGGAGAAAGAAAAGCAGAGTTGTTGCATTGAAATGTTTAGGTTTGTGGGATGTTCACATTAAAACAACTTCATGTTAAGTTAGAGTACCTTTAGCTCACAGTCCGGGTTGATGGCTAAATTTCCAGGTTTAAGGTCCTGGAGAAGAAGATCAAAAGAATAGTTATACATAGAAGTCATCAGAATGCTTTGGGGCAAACATCTGTTATATGTTAACACCTAGAGAGTTTCAGGTAACAAAGTAAAATATTTTATAATGAAATCATCAACATAAAATGAAACAGACAGCGTATAAATCTGCTTAGAAAGGCATGGAAATAAGCGCACAAAGCAAAGCTCCCTGTGTGGGAATCAGGATGAATGGGATCGAGTGTGGAAAAGAGCAAGAGCCCCACCCCCAAAGCTCATAGTCTGAAAGGTCAAAGGTCACGCACCCTGTGAATGATCCCTGCAGAGTGGATATACTGAGGAGAGAGGAGACACAGACAGCATCAGCAACTTGAGCTCAACTCGCGAAAAACAAGTGTATGACCCTTCAATGGAGGACACATGGTAACCACACTTACACATATTTACACTGCTCTAACAGAAACTGTGTGGATGCTGGTGAATGTAACTAATGAGTAATGTGCATGTATCCGCGTCGGCAGCGGTTTTCACCTTGAGTCCTCTCAGCATCTGATAGACGAGGAACTGCACCCTGTCCTCTGACAATCTCTCCATCTTCATCAGCTTGCCGAGGTCAGTGCCCATGAACGGCATCACCAGGTAACTGCAGGGATGAGAGAGGAGGAGTCGGATCACTCCAGAGGAAAAACAACCCGTTTTATAGGCGGCAGCGCTCGAGAACTTACAAGTCACGCAAGCGGTCCAATGCGATCTCAGCAGTGAAAACGTCCAGCAGCCCAATGACCTGATCAGGAGAAATTAAAGCAAAAATAAGATAAAAATAGCTGTCTTTCCCCCTTCAACCTGTCTTATCGGCTTCATGCTGCCGTCCTATTCCCCTTGTTGAAAAAAAACCCAACAACACACAAGATGCATTGTGCAACTTTAAAATACTTCTCCCTCTTTGTCTTTCGGAGCGCGTTCTTACGTTTTCATGCTTCATGTGTTTGAGGAGTCGCAGCTCCCTGTAGGCCCTTTTGGCAAAAAGTTTAGACTGGAAGGGCCGATGGAGTTTCTTGATGGCCACCTGCGTCCCCATCCGGCGGTCCCATGCTGAACTGAAACAGACACGTACATAGGTATCTTATTTAATTCAAAAAAAGAAAGCTTGCCCAGGTTCAATTTCACCAACAAAAATTCAATTGTTGCGTCCAAATTCCATCACTTAAGACGTTTTTCCCGGCAGACATTTGAACATGTCTATAAGGAAACCCACCAAGTGTAATTAATAGCATCTAAATGGAACAGTGCCTCATTAAGGATATGAATTACACCTGTGCCTTTTCTTGCTAGGACAAGAGACAATGTCTGCTGTCTGTTTGTGACGAAAGACAATGCAGTGGTGCATATGCACTTAACTCGGGCTCTTTGACTTCTTCCAAACAATGAGACTGGGGGGTGGTGCTCTTTGTTGACCTTCGTCCATACAACACAATGCACAGAGAGGCCCTGCAGAGCCAGCTGGTGATACTGCTGACCAAAATATCCCACAGCAGCAGCACTGCTGTGTATATAGAAGACTAGAATAGCACTGCTGCTGTGGGAATAGCACTAGATTACTCAAGTAAAAGTATTGAGGTAAAAATCTACTTATGTAAATAAAACGAGGTAAGGGTGATTCATTAAATGGTCTAACATGGTACTTTTTTAATGTATGTGTGTTGTTTGTTTCTAATGCATTGGGAATAGGGTCCGTTTCTGTTGATTTCTTTACATATAATACTTAAAATACTACTATAATAAATACTTAGACAGGGCCACTAATGTATACCTCAGTGCTGAATGCAAAAATTCTGAAAATACAAAAGGAGGTGTTTTTGGATGAGAGTGCATTTGGTAAATTCATTGAATAATCCGACATAGCATAAACCCTACGGTCAATCAGCTGACATCAAAATTCAACCAAGACTGATCGGTAAAGCCGATGTCTCACTTACCACACCGTCCCATAGGCTCCTGTTCCGACCTGCTTCAGGTCCCGGTACCTCTCGGGAACCTCCCACGCGGTTCTGTTTACCTCCTGTCGGTAGTATCCCGTCCTGGCCCGCACAGCCATACCGCACCGACTAGACGAGGCTGAGGTCAGGATGTGGGTCCGCTCATGTAAACAAACTGAGGTTTTTATTTGTTTTTATTTCCAAACGACCAAGACTCGCTGTCCGTCCCGCAGAGAAGACTTTGGTGCGGCGCAAATTCCTCCAGCGGACCCCTTGAGCGCTTTGCGGGGTAGCCACCCCCAACACATACACACACACAGACACACCCGGACACACCAACACACACCCACACAGACATTGTTGGTCATAGCTCCTGGTCGCCAGGGCAGTATGTGGGTGTTTCTACAATGTGGGGGGAAAAGCCACAAAACATCTGCCCACCCTAAGGTTCACGTTATAGGCCTACCGTATAATACTCCTGTAATATCCCTAGAAAGACATGCATGCAGAGATGGCAAACTAGCCTGTAACTTTGCATTAATGATCATCATAGAATGCCATTAAAAATGTGTCCAGATTGCTTAATAATCTGTTTAAATGTATTGATTAGATTGATTATAATGATGTTGTTTTTATTTCCTGTGGTGTCATTGCAATATTACTATATACTTGACGGGAATATATACCATATATTATATTTTGCTATACTATAATATATGATTATATTCTATACTATGTACTATATATATATATATATATATATATATATATATATATATATATATAATATGCTATTCTACATTACACTATTCCAAACTGATCTTTACTACATTATTCTGTGCTATACTATTCTAATCTCATTTGCTGCTATGCTATGCTATGCTATGCTATTCTATACTACACTTTACTATACTATTCTAGACTATATGCTATGCTGTGATATACTATAGTATACTTATTCTAGATTATTCAATGCTATACTCTACTACTGTATTATGCTTTACCATACTGACTGGACTATGGCATAGACTATATTTTTCCATTCTTTTCTGTAATACTATACTATACTATCCTATATTATGCTGTGCTTTACTATATACCGTATTATACTGTACCATACTGTTCTAGACTTTAGTATTCTAGTCTTTTATATACTATCTACTATACTATACTATTAACTGGAGTTAACTAGACTAGACTGTACTATACTATTCTGTACTATACTATTCTATTCTATATTTGGACAATGTATGTGTCCATATGTCACCCCAAAGCCAAGGATAACAATATGCTGCTACAACAGCCTCCACTTTTCTAAGAAGGCTTATCTACAAGTTTTTGGAGCCTGGCCGACCGTTGGCCTGGTTCGCAGTTGGTGTTCCAATTCATCCCATAGATGTTGGTTGAGGTTGAGGTCAGGGCTCTGTGAAGGGCAGCTATGTTCATTCTCAACAGACTGGAATAACTGTGAATGAAACTTGCTTCAGGCAACAGGAAAGAGCCTTTCCCAAACTGTTGCCATAAAGGTGGAAACACGCAATTCACACTTGACATAATTCACTTAATTGGAACAAGGGAAACAATGCTAAAAAATAATTTCCATCCCAAAAGTAGGCCTATGTGGACGGGGGTGTCACAACTTTTGTCCATGTTGTACATCAAAATGACTTAATGTTGCAGAGAATGTATGAGACAAGAAAAGTACTGACAAACAGAGATACGAGAACAGATGTTGTTTATTCTGTTGAAGACTTGCCAAAGTCATGTTACCTGTTGATGATGAATGAGAAAATAATCTGAATCATTTAAAATTGACAGTTGACATTCAGTTTAATGATTTGAAACTCATGGCTACCGTTGAATCACATGCCACCATGTATTCAAAAGACACACATAACTTGTAACATACATATGGTACACATTCGATTTGCAGTTTGCTATTCAAATCCACCCCATATACAACATCCACATAAGCACATAACACTTTAACATTCAGAGCTCTAACACGTTGACGTGACTGAGATTGACAGGTTTGATTCACTTGGACTGTAAATTCAATATTTTGCATCCAGTGTTAATAGACGACTGGCACAAAAGGCTACTTGTAGCTCTCCAGTGACAACCATTACAGGGAAAAAGTAGCTAAGAGTGGGTTTCCTTTCTTGTGTTCTGCAAAATGTATATTTTAGTTGTACTAATGTTTCTTTTAGGCAGAAATAGTCTCATTGGTTTGGTTAGACTTGAGTGGGACAAGCCATAGAACCACAGTTTAACTTGCGTGAAAGAACACACACAACATATAAAATACAATTGAGCTTAACCTAGTTGGCTAACCATGCTAGCTAGGCTAGTTAGCTAGGGTTTCTTCTTATCCCGTTTATCTCATATATGCTGCGAACCATGTGTAGCTTATACTCCATACAGTAGTTATTTAAGCTCCTAATACATACATTCTGTGTTTATCTCCCAACATTTCAACTGGCATCAGTCAATGAACCCTTCACTTTACTAAGCAAGCGAGCAAACCACCACTTATATTGAGGTATATCCTATTGAAATGTTCTCATAACCTTAGATGCATTGAACGCACTGTATTTTTTCATATATTTTTATTCCATTTCTATATTTCATAACATCAGCGCTGTCCTCATTTTCCACTTGACATTTTCCCTGACCTTCAGCGTTAAGCTGGAAAACCTGGACAAATAAGGATTGAGCTCATGCTGTTTATACAAATGTTACATTGTGAGGGCGTCCAAATGTTGCAATAAGCTACAAAGTTCACTGTTACTGAGATACCCACAAGTGAGGTAAAGAAACATCCTCAGTGCTTTTATACTATGGTCACTAATGAATGTGCACACCCTGCATCGTTTTCATTATTAACACTCAAGCATCATGAAAACAAAAAAGAAAATGAGGAAACATGGGAGGCTTTATGGGAGTGTTTGACCGTGTCATTACTTGCATGGAGCTGGGTGATGTATTATTATCCACCATGGTTTCTAACAGCTTACAAAATGCCTGTAAACCTTTTATCGTAAACACAAACCGGGGCTGTAAAAGACTACTATGGAAACCTGATGGGGCGCTGCCAAAGCCAACAGGTGACCAGATATCAGCAATCCGCTGAAACTGTATATGACAAGCGAGGTCGCACTGTAAACACAGACCTTCAACACAGTCATGCTGCTCCAGCTTTGGCATGTATTAATTACCTTGGTAATTAATAGCACAGTTGGTGTTTACTACTCTGTAAGCAGTAGAGGATGACTCTCATCTGAGGAAGAACCTTCGTTTTTCTTTGCTTTTGTATAATTTTTTTGACAGCACTTTTAATATAAAGATATAACAGATTGAAAGTTGGTCACATGTCCTGGTAATGCCTCTCTCTCACCCTCGGGCTGCTTTTATAGCAGTGTGGCATATGCAATAAGCAGTCTTAATGGTTATATAATACAATACCAGTAATATTTTGGAGTAATAAAATGCACAAAAATCATGCAGTAGTATGCAGGCTAAATGCTAAGCTGCTCTTGTGACATGACGTGGCATCGCCGCAAGCCTTTAAACATGAATTCCATATATGAAAGCACTGACTGATTATGGCATTTGTCATGACGAGGGACCAGATGTCGTTGCTTTGGAAATCCTAGTGTGCGTTTTTTGTTTTTTTCTTCCTTCGATACCTTTCTACACAGTTCAGTTCCGTGAAGTTGCTTCCTCGTATGAATCATCACGCCCTCTGCGATCCCTGGCGTTGAATGGTTCCTCATTTTACCCTCACTGAGCGGAAACATAAGAGGAAGCAACTTTGTGGACTGGGAGGCTCCTTCTATCGGATTCTAAAATGCTCCCTGTAAGTTGCAATGTGTGCATCTGATCCTGTGGAGACCGTCCTGCCCCGCTGCTCAAATAAACCCATGACAGGCAATCAAACACAGTCACGCTGAGCAGAGGGAATGCAGAGTTTTCTTCCTTCTTCCAATCATTGAGTACTTGGTCCTTATGCAGGGTAAGGGTTGAGGCAGAGCTGAAAGAGGCTTACTGCTCCACCTGAAGGCTACCGGTCTTGCTGCCGGATGCTTTGACGCAGTTCACCTCTTCAAATACCAACTCTAAGCACAAACATGAGAGAGAAATAAAGCGAAATAAATAATGTTAGGAGTTCTGTTTACGATTTGTTTCAAGGCATAAAACACTTCCTTCAAGTTTCATTGTCACAACACAGGATACTTTCATATGTAAACCAAGAGTCCTCTGGTGCAAGCTTTGATTCGGTGCCTTTATAATCGTGCTTGTTCAGCTTGGTACACTGGTCTATCAAAGAAACTCAAAATAAGAATGCAAAGCATGCAGAAAATATCCACCATGACTCACATCGGCTCTGAGCCATTTCACAAACCATAAAACTCCCTGCAGAAATGAAACGTAATCATATTCATGATGTTAGAAATGGCATCTTTAAATATCTCAAATATTACTTTGGTGGTGTAGTACGCATTCTTGCAACAGCCATGCAAGCTTAAAATCAGCAAAAGCTCTGCAGCTCGATGCTCACTTTGGATCTGTGGCGTCAATTTGTGCAACTTCCTCCTCTGCAAATCAAAAACTGCCCTTCTAAAATTGTTAATAAAGCAAAGTGAGTGCATTTGTTTGAAAGAAATTGAAAAGTAGACCATATCTGTACATTTTAAATTGCCATTTGTAAGTTGAAAACAAGGCAACACATTCTTACTCCTAACCGTCAAATACCGACGCTTGGTCAGTGCCCCTAAGCTTCAAACTATGACGTCAGTTCTGGACATGGCAGGGACAGCGTGTCAGTTTCGACTCGTTACATGCATAGTGTCTTTTCAAATTAACCACTTAGGTTTAGAAAAATAATTTGGTTAACTCAATCTCATGATTATCGAGTGACAAACGATTCATGTGACTAACAACTCACGTGACAACATGTCAGAGTTTACTTTTAGTTTCGCACAGGACACGGACGGCGGTCTCCTGGACAAAAGCTCCCGTGTTTGTTCGACTCATCCGCTTCCTCCATCGTCCACCCTGTGTGGACTATCTCACTCTTTAAACTACGGACGTTTCTCTGCCTGGTGCGTCGGACGTTGAGGGCCACTGACCAAGCGTCTATCTGAGTTGGGAGTGAGACCGAGTTGATCAAGGACAACAGTGGAAATAAGCGTTTCATTGCTCTAGTCTATACACTGTTATAAATCATATATCACCTTTCCATTCTTCTAGAGTTCGGTCTTTACTCTCCAGCGTTTGGTCGTAAGGCGGGGCCTCTGGTTCGTCGTCTGGATCGTGGTACTGTGAGAAGTAAGGGTGGGACAGAGCCTCGCTGGCCGAGATCCTCCCATCACAGTCCAGTACCAGCATACGCTTCAGTAGATCGACGGCTAACAAGAGACAGAACCAGACAGAGAGGTTAGAGACAAAGCTTGAAACCCAAAGGGCCAAACCCGTATAACTGAATTACTCATTTGCGATATGCAATGAACAACTTGAGCCATTGGAAGCCTTTCAATTGAATTTAAGAAGTTGATAATATAATCCGTGGTGCATCACTCACCCAGTGGATTTGCTCCTCTAAAGATCTTCTCCAGGTCCTGCTGGGGCATGAAGGGCAGAGATTGGATGTACTTCTGTGCCTGCAAATAGAGACCAGCGTTCAACTCTTGTGACAATGTGGATGATTTGTTAGTGATCAATCACCCCAACACCACACTTATTGACTACTCAATCAACAGCCTTGTCAATGGAGTGACAAATCAATCAGAGCAATTTGCCTGCATCGGTGGAAGCAATATTACATCAGATCTATTTTTCCCAACCACCCCTCAATTCATTCTTCCCTCTCTCACATGTTCAGAGCAGATCTTCTTTAACAGGTCGGGCGTCGGAGTCCCAACCACCTCCATGATTCTCTTCAGCTGGTCAATATCTTAGTGCAGGAGGGGTTAAGGGCAGTAAGGACTTGACCCGTCATATTATCTTGTCTCGTAGGAAAACGCAGAAACTCTACTTGCTGAGCTCTGCTGAGCGTTCTTTTCTAGTCAGCGTCCCACAAAGATCAGTAAATCAAACTTGTTTTGGCTCTGCTCTTAAGACACAGAATACAACAACTTAGATAATTCAGCCTTTTGTGGTCGCTCCCATTCATTCCCCACTTCTCTCTGTCGACACACCTCCCCTTCCAAAAGGCCCGGGATTGTAATGCAAATCCACAAGAGGTCTGCGTCCACAGTGCACATTAAAGAGGTAATGGAAGGTTGATGCTAAGAGGGGAAAACAAGCTGCAAATAGCAGTGGGCCTTTCGCCATGCTGATAAAGGATACAGTCAGTGCCAGGAAAAAGGACTTTTCCCTTCAGCAGCTCTCCCATAATGCATCCCACGGACCAAATATCAACTGGAACAGAAACAGAGGTTTAATCCTTTAACTGAGTTTGTGTTTGAAAAAAAAAAGCTTGTTAAATGTCTATAGTTTGGTGGCATTTTACCATTCTGATTGTAGTGCATCCAGTTCAGCATGATCTCCGGCGCTCGATACCAGCGAGTCGCCACATACCCTGTCATCTCGTCGTCTGTCTGTCTGGCCAATCCGAAGTCAAGGATCTGCAGGACAGGAGGATAGTTCTTTTAACTTGTGGAGTTCATAGATTGGGGTGAAGGATTCGCAGGTTTAAACTGAAGATCAGTCTTACCCTCAGCTCGCAGTCCTCATTTACTGCCACATTACTTGGCTTGAGGTCCTGGGAAAAGATAGTAGATCAGACAAAAGAAGGACAGAAACATGATTCAAAGGAGGATGTGTCTGCAGAGAGAGGGATGGATATTAATATAAAAACAGCATAAACCCCTGAGTTTGGAATCTATTTTTGGCCATTTTAACTACATTTGCACAGAGAACACTAATACAGATTCATCTTAAGCACACCAAACAAAAATACAGCGGTTAATTAATTAAATGGAAATAGTCATTGCTGTACTTTTTTTGATGTCGCTGCACAATATATTTTGAGTCATGTATGTGATTGACTTTTCTACTTGTGTCCAAACAGCAAATATTCACTCCCTCTGTCCAGGCAACTGGATTCCACCCAACTTCAACAACCAAGGTAACAGTTTCAACGTCAAATGCTGTTCTATAACCTTACTTTTGCATTTACAATTCAAACACAATTGTTTATCTTTAATATCTTAGTAAAGGCTACAATATTTTTTATGGACTTAAATGCACGGTTCAACCCATTCACAACAAACATTATTGCTGAAAATGCCAAACCTGCGTAATTTAAAATCTAGAGCAGATCACAGAGTTTCCCCAAAATAAGTTTCCCAAAAAATACCCATAAGGCCTCTAGAATATTTCCAGTTCAATAAATGTCTCAGCTGTCTAAAACAGTTCAGTGTAAACTCAAGTAAGAGCTGGAACAAGATTTGTCCAACCTCATAGCTACGTTAGGGGGGATACAAGGGGAAAGCTGTATGTTTCTTTTTATTTAAGACCAGGTTATGCTGTTAAGGGGTTTTCTTTTCAAACTTTATGGGCAAACACGACAAGAAGGGCAAAGAGAAGGCACTCACTCTGTGAATCAATCCCGCTGAATGGATGTACTGTTCGACAGGCGAAGGGGTGTAGCAGGAGGATGGGGGAGGAGAGAGGGGACATAAAGGGAGCCAGGGGTCAACAGTGCAGTTCACCATATTAGCCCCGGTCTAAAGGGAGACTGCTTTTGTCTGTCCCATGGTAACCGTGCAGGCCGAACAGCGGCCCTGCCGGCTGCTGGATTGATTCAGTGTGAACATGCACGCTTTAGACAGAATCCACAAAGAATAACAATGTCAAACTCAATATAAATATAGCAAGTGTTGGTGCAATGTAGACTGGGGTGTCCAAATTGTGACAGAAAGGCTACTGACAGATGGCACTCACTGTAAGCATTGTATACCAGTGATTCTCAACCAGCACTTGCCAAGGGATACATGGAAAAATTGTAGCTCAACAAATATTTAAAGAAAATATAGAAATTACAATTTGATATAGTCTGCTGTAACACATAAACATTGAGAGCGTCTGAAAACTAGTAAGCAAGAGAGCGGAGGAGTCTCTAGACAGTTAGCTTAAAGTAATGGATAAATGGTTTGCAAATTAGTAGACAGATGGCAAATTTATAGCAACGTAAACATCAATCTCGCAAACCATCTGCTATCGGTCTGACGATGATTTAGCCTCTGGGGGCAACAGCTAATATTTCTGCAGTTCCGGCGTAGCCAACAGATTTCGAGTTAACAAATATCCGGATCAAGAATTCTTCTTGTTGAATGGAGTTGGAGTTGAGAGACCAGATTGCATCATAAGTAGCGAGTTTACACCTAATTTTAAACCAATAAAATTTCGGCCAACGCGTTCCACCTCTTTCGCTCTCCAGATGGACTGTTTGCCTGCTCAACCGTGATTGATCAATACTACTCGGCCTCCAATACCAAAATCTCGACCTGTTACCTACAGATTCTGCATTCCTATGCAGATATCTATCTATAGAGATTACCTAAACATTGACAATTCAATAAATAAAACATATATTGTAATAATATCCACAACATACAGTTTGAAATCAATTTATTGGAACATGACAGGGAGAGTCCATGGAGGGGTACCACTTCTGTCAGGGCTGTGTGGTGCATCAGACAAAAGCGGTTGGGAATATGGTGCGCTATTTGCATGCGAAGTCATATATCATGCATGCATGGCATACAAGCGGGTGTATCACGATGCTGCGAATTACCTTGAGGCCGCGTAGAAGCTGGTAAATTAAGAACTGCACATGCTCGTCTGACAACCTCTGGAATTTAACGATGTTGTTGAGGTCTGCGCCCATCAGGTTAGACACCAGGTAGCTGGAAACGGGGAGAGCGCATGAGTGAAGGAGGGCTTGGGAGGTGTCAGTAGAGGAGAACACAGTGATGCCTATAATCCCCAAGGATCGCCTCCACCACTGCCACCCTGCCCTGTAATAACCTGGCATTTTTGCTGAAAGGTGGACATGGCTCGCAGTATAACATGAAGGGACAAAAGACTTACAGTTCGTTGAAGTCCTCTAACGCTGCAGCTGGTGTGAAGACGTCCAGCAGTCCTATTACCTACAGAGACAGAGACAGAGCTGATCAATAACAGAGCGGAAACATGCAGAGGGCCGCATCTGCCCGTCTCTGGGTATTTTTTTTCACGAGGAGCACTGACGTTCTCGTGTTTCATGTGCTTGAGCAGCCTGAGTTCCCGGTACGAGCGGCGGCTGTGGATCAGGGACTGAAAAGGCCGGGACAGCTTCTTCACCGCAACCTTCTGCCGCGAGAGGACGTCATACGCCGAGCTAGAGAGAGAGAAAACGGGGAGAAATAAAGTCTGTATGGTAATTATGAAGCTACAGCCAGGGGACGGTTAGCTTAGCTTAGCATAAAGACTGGAAACGGAGGGACAGCTATAGGCTGGCTCTTCCCAAGGCTTAGAGAATCCACCTACCACCACATGTTAAGCCGACTCAGCAACATGTTACATCTTGTTTGTTTAATCGGTACAAAATGTGTCAAAACGATTATTTGTGGTATAATGTGTCAATTAATGTGTCAATTTCTTGGCGTCTTCTTCCTTCGATTTTGTTACTTTTGGAAAGGAGGTAGGCCAGCTGTTTCACGGTTTCCTGTCATCACAAGCTAAGTCTCGAGGCTAAGTCTCGAGGCAACAACAAAAAAACGTCAAACTGCCGTTTTCTGCAGAAACTAAACAAATGAGATACAATGTGTTCATTTGTGAGCTTTAGAAGTGCTTTTTGCTTCTTTTGGACATAGCCAGGCCAGTTGTTTCCCCCAGTCTTTATTCCCTATCATTCCCCAAAATGCTAAACTATTCTTCAAACCTGGTATCAGCTGATGATCCTGAGAGTATATATTAGTGATCAATGATTGAGGGGAAGACAGACTGACTAATGCAGAAAGAGGGGGAGATGGTGAAAGAGGATGTGGTGGAACAAGAGAGATGCGGATGTCAGATATTGTAAAAGTGCGGTGGTTTTATTTCATCTGCCTCTTTTGAAATGTAAATGTCTTTCCACACATCGAACGCTGAGCCCTGCTGCTGCTTCTGGTGCCGCTGCCTTTGTGGTGCCAATGTCTTTTCAGTCCTGCCGGCTTTTCAACACTCTCAGTAGTGTAATAATACAGCCAACAGAGGAACAGACAAACTGCCAAACAGGAAGGAAACACGGGGGAGAATTGAAATGCTGCGTAGCAATGAAGAAACAGAGCAAGAAGTGAAACACTGACTGGAAAAAGTGGACACTTCAAGTGGAGTGAAAAGAAGATTCATACTGTACATTTACATGTAGAACTGACTCGATGCACGGGTATAAACTCTATTATTTGGACTATACCAACAGTTCATCTGACTGATTTTTGGATCAGTTAAAGGGAAAATCTCCGACTGAAGTTCATCTTAACATGTGAGGGCCACTTCAGGAATTCCTCAGTAATGAGGTGTACTTTTTAAAAGACCAAACCCACCAGATCAGCTTAAACCTAAGCTTCCCTTATCCCTTGACTACCTTGTTTGACAGCTTTTTGCAGCAAAATACTTGACATGTAGTATTCAGCTGTTATTTTTAGTTGAGGGCGGGCTGTGGAGACAGTGACACTGTATATTAAAATGCAATATAATGAGGGTTTTTTTGGTGAAAAAACAACCTGTAAGCCACAACTGCTCAGTGAAAACCCACCTTGTCTTGCTGCACAGCACTTTTATTCTATTGTGGGTGCAATTACTGACTCTTCAGCAGTGGATTACTCTTCAAGTGCTGCTCAGTGACAGTAGAAAGAAGCCAACAACCTAACCTTGAATTTCTTTTATTCCTGACAACCTGCAAAAAAATTCAGTCCACAGCAGGAACAGGATGTGGTCTTCGTTAGACAGTGCCCACCTAATGATGCATGTCTCCTGTTTCTTTTCCTTCTGTTTTGCTTACATGCACGAGTAAACAACACTCTTGCACGGTTGTGTGCATTCCATGTGTCTTGCGATCCCCTGCTGCCGGTCCGGATGTCCCCGCCGGGCTTAAGCCAGGACGGTAAGCCGGTCTCCTCCGTCTCTGACATGAACCAGGCCTCTCTGCCTCACACATACCTTCCTCCCTGCCACCTTCCATACATGGGTCTGCCTGCACTGCTGTCAGCGCACAGGGCCCAGCCAAGGCATCGATTTCTCTCATCTTCTTTTGTCTCTGCTTTTTTGTTTTGTTAGTGGGTTATATCTCAGCTCTTAACGCACTGACAGTTTCAGAAAGGAAGAGGGGGAAGGGGCAGCTAATATCCAATGTGTTTTCATGTACATGTTCTGGTCTTATCAGGTAACGTGATTCATTCTGATTAAATCAAGAGTAAAACCTACATGGTTGCATCTATTTAAATGGGGGGAGGGTATTGACTGTTGCAAGTAAAGAAGAAATTATAATTTATTCGATAGATTATTGTCCACAGGGTCTGTTTTTTGCTTCCAATTTAATGCATTACCATTTATCCAGGAGCCAAGACAAGATACATCTCATATATCTGTATGCTGAATATTAAGCCACGGGCCAGCAGCTTGTTAGCTTAGTTTAGCATAAAGACTGTAAAATAGCAAATCACAACCTCAATCTAGTTTTCTGCAACAATCTGACAAAATGAAGCAGTCATGTTTTATTCACAGCTATCCAAATGAGAGGCTGCGTGCCAGAGTTCCGGTTTACTGAACAGATGTTACATTTGGTGACATGAGATGAAAGCAGCCTTGTTCTCGACCGGGCCAAAATTGGCCCACTTTTTTGTCTCCAGAAAGCAGAAAAGAGAATATTTGGGATGGGATGAGGGCTTGATGGCGGAACACTGAGAAGACAATGAGTCTGGATTAGGCTGGGGATATCACAGCGTTCAGTCCTCCAAACTTTTTGTCTCATGACTTATCAAAATTCAAGAGGCACAGCGTGTTAAATTATTAAACAGGCTTTGCATTTCTGACTCCTCTCTCTAGTGTCTGCGCTTTGCAGCTCTGAAACCTTACTAATACTCCCTTACACTTGCTGTGTTATCCTCTTTCTAAACTCTACGACGTCTTTCGGTTCCCCGTCTCCCATGGGCGACCAGGGTGTAAATTCTTCATCTTTAGCTGTAATGGATTATATGAGCTTGTCGGATCCTTGACCTCAGGCCTGCGGCCTCAAGAGGGTTCACCGGGAGATAGATGATGAGAGCCGTTTTCACTGTGCATCTCAAGAGGTAGACTGTGGGACGATCCTAAGGTCTGATGACGATTCCAAAGACACCAGACACATAGAGAACACATCACTTCCTGTGCGGCAGGACAGAACTTCCAGACACCAAGGCTTTAGAGCAGTGATTCCCAACCAGGGGTGGTAGCTGAATTAACTTGACGGTTCAATTGTATGAAAATATATTCACTTTTATATATATATTAACAGTGTTAAAAACAGTCCTATTCATGATCCAATTATGAAAAGTTCCCGAATAGCGAATGCCACATTGCTTTATGGCAACGTTATTCTATTTCGTCACCAAAGACACAGCTTCATGTTCCATCGAATGAACGCTTTGATAACGCTGCACACGCCTTCGTGGCACGGGACTCCTAAATGGGAATCAAACCTCAACCGTGGCAGTTCATTTCTCCAAAAAATGCCAAATGCAAATAATCTTCCTGAGGGCGAATGATATAGCTGAAAGCAAATTCGTCACCTGGCTCTCTACTTTTATTTTTTTATTTCTGTGCTATTCTGAGCTTTGAAGCTCCAATATCGGCAAGATGTTTACGCACAAAATACTCCTGCGGGGGCCTGAATCGTAAATTGGGGCCCCAGCGGACAAGCACATTCAGAAAGTGTCTTAATTAACATCTGTCTTGACAGGAAGTCAGCTGTGAGGATATAAGCTCTTTTCTGAGGATGCAGCCGAAGGCAATGAGAGCTTCGGGCTGAACAGGCCAGCATGTAAGCTTCAGGTCTTGCCCCTGTTGTAGTGTTTGTGATCTGACAATCACCAAATCCTAAAATAAATGATCCCAGGAAGGTGGAAGTAGAGCAATCCTGTCCTGCCAAAGTGAGAATAAAGATGCAGTTTATTCATCTCAAAATGTTCAGTGTTAGTTAGCGATGCTTCTTCACTATACACAGAGGAAGCCCAAGAAAACGACGAATCCAAACTTTACAACCTATTCCAGAGTGTCTCCTAAACAGCACAGAGTGCTCCATCTGGAGAAATGTTGACTCGCCAACATTCTCCTCTCTCATCCTCCTGGTACAAAGCATCACAGGATTTGGACCTCATACAGCGTGGCAAAGCTGGCCCACATTTTTCTTTCTTTTTCTCATAGTCTGAAAAAGGCTCAATTGGGCATATTGAGTCAGGGGCGTTGTCAAAGACTGAATTTACTGCGCAGGTGACAGGACAAAGCTTTTAACGAGGATTATTCGTCATCTATAAAGCGTCTTATAAATTGTTCGGTTGTGTCTCAATCGGTTCTCCTTCAAAGATGTTCAGGCCGGTTACATCTCGCTGCCGTCAGGGAGCTGCCAACATCCAAACATCTTATTCATGTTCTGAAAATGTGATCATCCCACTCGGATAAGCCGCCCAAACCGTTCGCTCCACATTTCCTCATAGGTAACCGTCCGCCTGCTATTACGGCTTAATTAATACCAACTGTCAGGAGGAGGTTATCACCATGACACATCGCCATGGCAACGGGAAACCCACCAGCTGACACGAAATTGGCTTCAAAATTTAAGCAGCTGCATGTTGCAGGAGTGGAAATATCTGCATCCACACACAGTGTCATGCAGAGAGGAGACGTGTGTATGACATATGTGAGATGATGATGCATGCATGCATCATGCATGCATGCATGATGCACCTGTTAAGGCTTCAAGGTGTCATACTGCATCGTGTTTATGCACTGAGAGCAGCTGGGCCCAGGTTTTCCCTTTCCAGATGTGGCATGCATCTTTAGAGTCCCAGGACAGTAGCCTCTGCAGGGTCCTTAGAGGTGTGTGTGTATGTGTGTGCGTGTGTGTGTGCGTGTGTGTGTGTGTGTGTGTGTGTGTGTGTATGCGTGTGCGTGTGTGTGTGTTTGTGTGTGTGCGCGTGTGTGTGTGTGCGCGCGCGTGTGTGTGTCGTGTCTTAATATATGTCTGGCAGCAGTAGGCTACACAGAAAGAAATCATATTAATTTGCATTATTGAAACAATACCATTATTTTATGTTTTTTCTAGACCGTTGATACCGAAGCAGCATAGGAAATAGCATACTAATATCAATAATAATAATAATAATACGCTGGCAATAAAATGAATTAACAACAATAAAACCCCAAACAATCAGTTTCCACAAGCTCCTTCATCTCCCACACGGCCGACACACACGCATCGCTATGCTGATGCATCATGACCGATGTACGGCCAATGTTGTGGCTGAGCAGCCTCGCCCCTCCGCCCGCCCTGCACATACACACACACTCACCACACCGAGCCGTAGGCTCCGGAGCCCACAGGCGTCAGGTTCTGGTACCGCTCCGGAACCTCCCACACAGTCTTGTTCAGCTCCTGCTGGTAGAATCCTGGTCTGGCGGACATTTCTCCGAGCCGGCTACGGAAAGGAAAGGAGTGAGCCGAACAGGAAGAGTAAGAATGTAAATGAAGGGGGGTGGGAGATAACGGTAGATGGGACCGGAGGCTCGGGCCGCCGTCTGCTGCCTGAGCCGAGCTGCTTTATCTCACCCAGCCTAGCTCGCTCTCTCTCTCTCTCTCTCTCTCTCTCTCTCTCTCTCTCTCTCTCTCGGTACCCTCCCTGTTGCTGAAGTAAATAGAATAGAATATTAAGCATTAAGGCCAATATGTAACATTAATGAGTTGTAACAGAGAGGCTTTCTAATGTGAGGAACTGTTGAGCAAAAAATGAATGCAAAACAAAGCCTAAAAAATGATGATCATGATGTAAATACATGACTGTCATCTGGTGGCGAACTTCTGCTAGTGCAAGAGGCGTCAAGAGCAGCACCAATGTATTATAATTAACTTTCCAACGACAACTTGAACTCTCGCAGATCCTCTTCAGATGTTGCTCTGTCTATCTGAGAGAGATTCTGATGAATGGATGTCAAAGTCGTTCTTCAGTCAGGATGGCCGAGCGGTCTAAGGCGCTGCGTTCAGGTCGCAGTCTCCCCTGGAGGCGTGGGTTCGAATCCCACTTCTGACATGCATTCATTTTCACAGCTGAATATCAAAATTGCGACTATACAATCGAATGATGGCAGCCATTGCTACCAAGAACAATTACTAAGGTACGAATAAAGTAGAAATATAATAAATGTTGATATAATAAACACATTCCTATATAACTGTCAGTATTTCCTACCTCATCATCTTACAGAAATATGTAAATAAATGGTCATGTATTGATTATCAACTTTCAACTTTATTTATTTCTGCATTTATTTATAATTGTATTAATTTATACCTTTATTTATTTTTGTATTTATTTCACCATTCATTCATTCTTTCATTTATTTATTTTTTGCATTTATTTATTCCTGTATTTACACATTATTTATGAATTTATTGGTACTCAAATCATTTTCAGTCATCCAAACACAACATAAGCTCTTGTCATTAACTTTATTCCCTCATTGTTAGCGATTGTCTTTTGAAACAAAGGACTTTAGTTACCTCATCTTGTCTTTGAACGCATCATTAGCTAGCCATGTTCTTTGGCGTGTTGTGTGCTCACCTGTCCATCCAGTCCTTCTGAAAGACCAGCAAGGCTCCAGGTTAGAAATGCACTGTCTCGGGTATGCTTGTATATTACAAAATATTACAAATTACAAATATGAATTTATTATTTTATTGATTACTTGATTATTAAAATATTGATTATGAGGTGATACACAAATGCTTGTTAAAGTTAGAGTCAGCTATTGTTAGCTAAGTTAGTTGCACTAACCTTATTTCTCGTGTGCCATGTAAAATAGTCCTAATAGCATATATTCTGAGACATTCGTCCACAACTGATGTAATATCGAAAACGGCCAGCAGATGTCGCCATCTCAACACTAAATGGCGCCCTCATTAAGCTAGTCAGCATGAACTATTCTCACATGTGGTCTGATATTTTACCATAAAGCTCACCCAGCACACGGACGATGCCAATGCTCAGCAGGTGTTTCTTGCAGCGTAAACCTGCAAAGGTCATTTCTTTTGACACTTGAACAGCTTGTTCCTGAAGATTTCCACAGTTCAGAGGTTGTTTTATTAATCGGGTGTTGTTTCTGAATCCAGCACTTTGTTTGTGAGTTGAAGAGTCACTTTCCAACAGTTCAGCGATCAGGTGCAGAATGAAATGACATCCACTATACGTTAATATTATGTATTATTATGTATTATGTATTATTTTATTTAATGCGAACAGTTGCCCATTTATATTTCAGGTATTGTATTTATTGATTAACACAACATTTCCGTAGGTTATAAACGGAAACATATGTTGAAGAATGATTTATAATTTCACTCATAATTCTTCAAGAAAAATGCAAACTGGTTCCAGCTCCACAAATTTATGAATTTTCTCGGAAGAAAACCATAAGGAATTTGAAAACGTCACCTTAGGTCTCATGTGTGATGGGGACCTTTTCACTATTCTTTGAGTCGGCCTAAATGAGTCTATTCAAGCTAAAATTCACTTTATTAGTCACTAAATGAATGATTGACTAATCGGAGAAATAATCTGCAGATTAATGAATGAAAATAAGATGTAATTGCAGTCCTAGACCTTTTCTTTTATACATTCTTTATTTTCACTGTTTCGGGAATAATTTGTTTAATTTAAAGAATTTTCATTTAATGTACTGTAAGGTTATTACTACGCCTGCAGCTAACAGCTGTTTTTGTAATTGAATAATCTTACGATAATTTTCTCAATTAGTCAATCAGTTGTTTGGTCTATATAATGTCATGAAAGTGATATAAATACCCATCACATTTTCCAGGATCCCATGGTGACGTCTCAAACTCAAATATACTCAGTTTGCAAATACATAAAATATATACAATCTTGATATCGGGCGCATTTCTTTCTTGACAGAAAGAAACAAAAACGTAACTAATTTATTTATTTTGTTAGTTGACTAATTTATTGATTGGCACTGATTATTGTTGTTGTATTTATTATTTTTATTATTACAGTTGCATAGAAATACAGCATTACTGAAATAACTAATTAAATGACAGTAATTATTCAAATACATGTATTCATTCATTTTGTGTTTACCAATATTTACGTAACTTTTTTTAAATTAAATTATTTATTCATTTATTTAGATTTATATATTTATTTTAAATAATAGTAGTTTCAATTCCTGCATTATTTATTTGTTTTAGCCTTTTAATGCTTTTATTAATTTGTTCATTAAGGAATTAGTCGTTTTTCCTTCTCCATAACCCTTCAATCTATGTGATATCTGTGAGTTAAATCTCTGGTAAAAATTAACTTTAAAGTTAAAGTATGACGCTGATTCAAAGTCTACTCAGAGATTTTAAAGAGACATTTTTACATGCTTACTTGACCATAAAATAGTCTAAATATAACATAAACGGTTATATTGACATAAACTGCCATTGAGCACGCTCATGTAAAGATTACAGTATTTGTTCTCAATCAGGTTAAAGTGATAACAAACTGCTGTGGTCTAGTCAGAGGCTCATTGATTTCATAGATTCCTTCACAATGTGAAAACTGACTGCGCGCCAGCGGATTGGTCAGAGCCTCCGGTGGGCTTGTCAGAGGGCGCGTGGGGATTTAATTGAGAGGCGGGGCTTGTCAAACAGCTGGAGAAATATGCGACGATTAAGCACGTGAAATATTGAACACAGTGGCGCGTCGCTCCCCCTCTCTACTTCCGGTACAATTTGCCGTCTTCTGAAACAAACAGCGGGCTTAAGGTGGAACTGAAGCGTCTTCGTAGCAATGTTTGACCTGAAGAAGAGGAATAGTTTGACTCTGAACTGCAGAGCCAAGACGGAGGAGTTCAGAAGAGTGGCGGTCAGGCGGAAGGTCAAAGGTGCTGCGATGGACTGCCTCGCTTCACACACAGGTGAAGTACCTTCTTTATTTAATTAAAAATAAATGTGATATTGCTGTAGTTACTATGGATGGGCTGGTTTTAGTGGAGTTTGTGGCAAAAATAAATAAATTGATATGTGGTTATTGTTTGGGAACACGGTCAAAATATAATCAGTATATTTTCCAATATATCAGGAAATTGTCTGTGTTCACACCAGCCAGATGAACCAGATTACTGCAGTGTGGGAGGGGGCCAAGGGCATCAACACCGTGCCTGTCTTACATCAGTATATGCTATTTTAGTTGAGTTCACTTGGTGTGTATGCATGTTTGTTTGTTTTTTATAATCACAACTGAGAGGCTAGAAATTGATAGACCTATTAGTGCTTTTGGATTCAGTTCAAAGATAGTTAAAAAATATTGAAGGAGTAGTTCCATATTCTTTACTTTTGCTTATGTTAAATATAAAGCTCCAGCTGGCTAGCTTAGCTTAGCACAAATACTAGACACAGAAAACAAAAAGGCGTGTTGTTGAACTATTCCTGTAAGAATTAGGATCAATCATCTGGCTACCTGGAAATGTGGCTACCACGGTAACTTAGTTAATGCACACAACATTTTTATTCAACAGTATCTCTTCACTCTAACTTAGTTGTTCTAAAAGGAACAACTCAAATGTTATAGACTTTTCAATATGTTTAAAAGCAGTCACCCATAGTCTTCCATATGCATCTGTCTCTTTGTAGTGTTCTCTCAGGTTAGGGGAAAAGAGAGAAGTGAGAAAGCAGAAGTACTACAGTGTTGAGAAAGTAGGCTTCTTGCCCTCACCACATGATCAACAAATTTGTTACACTTCAGTGAAGCCAGGAGTGAACAGCAAAGCTTTACTTTGTTATACAAGTTATGGATGATCTTGCATGAGTTTGGGCGTAGACAGCAGGTAAGAAAACAAAGAGATGCACAATGTGAAAGTAGTTAGTTGTTGTGAAGTAAGGATGCCAGTCAAACAGATTTTAAAGAGTATAGTGAAACATGCATACTACTTGTTTTTCTTCTTCTTGAGGAAACGTGTTGGATCAAATACTAAACTAGTGTAATCCTTTTTTTTTTTTTTGATTCTGGACAAAATGTAATCCTTACCTGGAACATTGTGTACTTCATAATTTAAACTAAATTTAGTCTTCAGTCCAAGATTGAACTTGTTAATTGTTATAAATAAAACGTGCATAGTAAAAACAACAGATTTAATACCAGTGGCCGCATACAACTCGCAGTGCTTATAGAAGTACAAAATGCAAGAGGAAGTTTGTATGTGTGCCGAAGAAACACTTGAGCAATACAACCAAGAGATTAGCAACAGCAAGGCGAGCGTGAGGTCCTTTTTCCATGTGCATGTGTGATATTTGTTAGCAGTTGAAGGCTCGGGAGGAACAAGACCTCTGAATCATCCACTCAGAAATGATGTATGCAGTTTCCAAGGACTCAGCAAAATAAGTCTTTAAAGTTGAAAAGTAGTAAATTGTAGTCAAGATTCTAAAGTGGAAAACAACGATTTTGCAGACATTTAGATTTTTTCCACTTGAAATGTCGGCACCGACTGAATTGACCTTTTTTGTATTTTAAATAGTTCACCCTGTCGGAGCCTCAGTAAAGTGTGAAATAAGTACTGTATATGGAAGCCATTGTCATGCAGTGTGGGGGAAATCTGCATGGTTAAAATAGTAACTGTGTATTTCTTTTAGAGGTGAGCAGTGGGGTGTGCGGCTCGTACAGCTGTGGCAGCGCTTGTGACAGAGTCTGTGGATCCGAACCAAACTCTAAACCTGGTACAGAGGAAGACAACGAAAGACCACATGGTAGGCTGAAGTCCTGTATCCTAAATGCATAAGCTGAAAAACAAATGCAAGTCTGTTACTTCAAGTTATTTATTAAATCCCTCGTTATTCTTTGAGATCACGTCATGTCTTACCTGAATGTTTTCGTGGACTATACTGGACCTGCATCTCCAATCATAAATTAGCCAACTGTGCTGTCTATGTCTTTGCAGTGCCTTCTAAATCGGCTCACCTCCAGAGCAAGGCAGGACACGCTCCAGCCCACAGTCAACAAGTGAACGGCACGGAGCAAGACCAGAGTCTGAAAAGAGGTGACGGAGTTTCTGTTTCCTGTGTCAGCCCAGCACAGAATTGTCTAGGCTCCGCTAGTCCAATCAGTGGAGGCTGGAACTTTTTGTTGAATGGAGTCCCTGCCGCACATACACAGGGGATTCCACACATGACAAGCAGTCCACTTTTAGGATCTCCAAGTCCAGGCAAAGTAGGCATTCAGAGCTGTAGCCTATTGGGAGTAGAAGGGCACAGTCCTGCTACATTGTCCCCAAGGAACCACAGCCCTCTCAGTGGATTACTGAAGACCCCCAGCCCTTTGCAGGGGAGAATCAAGAGCCACAGCCTCTCCAATAAATCTAAATCCTGGCTTGGACTGCACAGAATCCCAAGCAGCAACATGGAGGGGAAAAAGAAGAGAGCGGGAAAATCTTTGAGCGTGTCTGACTTGATTGTTTACTTGGACGAGAGCAGGTTGGATTTTTAATTTGGTCGGTTTCTGCACCATGAGTCCCTAAATAACTTCCTGTAACATTGATTGCATTATATAGAATCCAATCACTTATGAATATGACTTTTATTTTTGCAGGATTCCCACTGAAAACATTGAACGCTTTCCACTGGCACCGCTGCAATCCCCCAGCTGCACCGGGTCAGACATCACCCTCATAGCACCAGTTCACCATAGACTCAGTCACGCCAAAAGTGAAGCCCATCTGTCAAGCAACGGCAAAGGGCATTCCCCGGGACAAATGAATGGCATAGTGCAGGGGGGAGTTTGCACAGCAGTGAATGGACTGGGAATAAATGATAGCATGGAAGAAGACAAGATACCAGCAGGACATGGCTCCAAGTCCTCCTGCCAGTGGAACGAGGCTACTGGAACGACAGAAGATGGCAGGATTCAGAAGGAGTCTAACGGCGAACAAAATGATGATGAGATGAGAAAGGAGAGAGGAGGAAGCGAGCCAAAAGATGAAGAGAACCAAGAGCAGAAGTTGTACAAGATAGCCAATGAACTCCTGCAGACAGAGAGAGCCTACGTAGCTCGTCTCCACCTGCTCGACCAGGTCAGTGTGGTAATCTATTCGTGGCTTCTTCCACGAAAATCAACCAGAGCCACTTAATTTCATCATTGGATACAACATGCTCCTTTAGGTTAGCATAGTTCTTGTTGGTATGAAGGAAATGGCAGGGATTTCCTTTATCGCCACGTTCTCAACAGACTTGTCTTTATTTACATTCCTTTTAGGGTGAAGTGTAAAATGAATTTGAGTCCGTCATGACTCTCTAACTTCCTCCACAGGTGTTCTGCTCACGCTTAACGGAGGAGGCAGGCGGCGGCTCGTTTCCTCCCGATTTGATAAGAAATATCTTCTCCAACATTTCCTCCATCTACTCCTTCCACAGCCAGTTCCTGCTACCTGACCTGGAGAACTGCATCAGCCACTGGTGAGTGTTCACTTCATAGACACAGCAAGATTAAGTCCCGTCATGCCCATTACTATAGTGTAAAAGTAGCTATTTAAAGGTCAACTTGCTATGTGACAACCAATTATTTGGTCCACTATTATAAATGTCAACAGCTCCTCAAAGGCACACACTGTCATTGTTTAAGAGTTTCCTGATCATGCCACAGCTGTCAGTGGTAGCAGGATGAATCAATTTTTTTGTTAAGGCAAGATAGTAGACTGTTCTTGGCCAGATCAATCACCTGACCCCAACTGAACATACTGAAGGCAACAAACAAGCAGTACATTTGTGGCAGAGGCTCGTAGTTGACATCAGGACTTGCTACCAAAACACTAAATATGAAAGCTTACATTTCTCTAATTATTTTCTGTCTCCTTAAATTGGGAAACTGTATATACAAACTCAACACTTTACCCTCGAAGTCATTTCTTCTTAAAAAATAAAATGTGTTGGACCTTCTTCCACCAAATCTAGGTGTGAGAGCCCAGGCCTGGGTAGTGTTCTGCTTCAACACGCACCCTTCCTGAGGATGTATGCCGACTACATCAGGAACTTTGACCAGGCCATGGAGATGGTGAGGACCTGGAGTGAACGCTCCTCTGTCTTCAGAAATATCATCCTGGACATACAGGTAAAGCATGCTCGGTAAGTTTATTCCTATATGCATCTGAAAGTACGGTTCTCTGAACGGGATGTTGTGCACGTGTGGTCCTGTGTTTAGAGTCAGGAGGTGTGCGGCAGCCTGACCCTGCAGCACCACATGTTGGAACCAGTCCAGCGGGTTCCACGTTATGAGATGCTCCTCAGGGATTACCTGAAGAAGCTGCCCAGGGAAAACTCAGATTATGATCTTGCTAACAGTACGTATGCTGTACCATTATTACTAGTTTAATTGTTCAGTCTACCGATATCCTTGCTGTGAGAGTACTTGTGTTAGATTTCTTTATGGTTCCTCTTTTCCCTCATAAAGGTCCAGTCTGTCTCTGATGGGTCGTTATGTCTTTAATCAGCAGAATGAACCTCTTCCCTTTGTCTCCTCCCGCAGAATCCTTGCAGATCATTTCCATGGCAGCCACCCACTCGAACAGCGCCATCCACAAGGCTGTACGTTACAATGTCACACCACATCATGTACGATATCATCACTGTCAGACAACGCATTATATTGTCAGAAGTGATCCTGATATTGTGATTTTGATCAATCGATTGTTTTTTTTTTTTAAATCTGGATTATATAATTTGGAATGCCACAGCTGTAAAGCTAGGATTTATATTTACTGGATGATTTTGACATCAAAGTTGTATGCTTTTACTGCATGCTCTTGTAATGACATTTTGACAGAAATAAATGAAATCCAGTTTTATCAATATGCCAGACAAAATTGCTGATTGTGTGCAGACGGATGTATTTTAGTGTTTCTCTTTCTTTCCCTGTAGGAGAGCCGGAAGCGGCTGCTGGAGATCTTTGAGATGGTTGGAGAGGAGGAGGTGGTCAACCCGACCAACGAGTTCCTCAGGGAAGGACGTCTGCTCAAGCTTGCTGCCAGGAACACATCCGCCATGGAGAGGCACCTGTTCCTGGTTAGAAAAAGACAAACTACATCTCTGGGCATTTTGGGACCGACAACGATCCATAATCTGCCAAGAACCTTTTGACTGTTCATATCTACCCCTCGAACATCTGTTTTTACCTTTCTATCATAGGGTTTTATTTTTAAACTTCACTTTTTCTAAGTCACTCGAGAGATGAATGCCATAAAATGTGATTCTAATTTGGATCGCAGTTTATAAAAGGAACCTTGTAGATCACGGTTTATAACTTTCCTCCACAGTTCAACAACTTTCTGCTGTGCTGCACTCCTAAGTTCAGCCTAGTTGGGCAGCGTTTTACTGTCCGCTGCAGGATCGGAGTGGATGGCATGCAGGTGCAGCAGACCACCAATGAAGACCACTCGCACACCTTCCAGGTCTCTGGAAAGGAGAGGACCCTTGAACTGCAGGCCAAGTGTGTGTGTGTGTGTGTGTGTGTGTGTGTGTGTGGTTTAAGTGGGCGGGTTCATACCAGTTGAGCTGCTTTTGGTTTTTCTTTGACGGTAGACTCGCCTGCCTGTCAATGTGTTAGACAACACATCTACATGTTCTAGTTGGAAAGTAGATGTGTTTGATTTCATGTTGAATGACTCAACATATTGTAGTCTGTGAACATAATCTTTAGTGATTAAAATGTTAATTACAGAAAGTGCATAAAATGTGTAATTGTTTTTTGTTTATTCAAGCTCTGAACAAGACCGAGATGAGTGGATAAAGGTACTGGGGTATTTCCATGTAGTGTTTTGTGCAAAATATTAAACATGCCATGAATTAGGAAAAATATTCAAAAAAATGTAACAAGTTTTATTTCCAGGTAATTCAGGAAGCCATTGATGTTTTCCTGAAGAATCATCAAACCTTCAAATTGGCTTTTAAGGAGCTAATAGTAGAAGAATCAGTAAGTTTGATCATATTTCAGAAATATTATAATAGTAGTAGTAATAATAATATATTCAGAAACTCATCCAGCTGGTGTGTGTGTGTGCGTTTTACAGACGGAGGAACTCGGCCGACGGGCCCCTCGCTGGATCAGGGACAACGAGGTGACCCTGTGTATGAAATGCCAGGAACATTTCAACCCACTCACCAGGAGACGACATCACTGCAGAGCCTGCGGCTGCGTGAGTGACATGAAGTGGCAGCTTTGTACTGAACACACAATACAGGCGAAAGCTCTTTTTTTTTTTTTTTTTTTTTTTTTATAAAGAACACGATAGCAGTGACGGTTTCTCTGCTCCCCTAGGTGGTGTGCGGGAAGTGTTCAGACAACAAAGCGGCTTTAGAGTATGACGGCAACAAGCTGAACAAAGTGTGCAAAGCCTGCTACTCCATCCTGTCGGCTCAGAGAGGAGAGAAGGTAGAGGGAAAGAAGAGAAGGATACTGGAGGTGAGCCATGTGTGTCAGTCTCTTTAGGAGCATCAAATACAACATAACATGGATCTAAGTCTTTATACGCATTGTGTTTTCTCTCAGTCGGAGATTCCAATCTACAGTGACTATGTGATGTGTGGCTTCCTGCTGTATGGTGACAACCCAAAGACCTGGCAACAGATGTGGTCTGTTGTCACCCGGTCTGAACCTGTGCTCCTCCACCTGTACACAGCCCCACAGGTAGGGATCTCTGTGATGATGAATAATGTGACGGTTACTATTGCATTTTATACACAAAAATACACAATGTCCCACAACCAGTACAGCATGAGACATGTGTTCTATTATATTATATTATCAATCTAGAGGCCTGACTTTAAAATTGTAGTTTTTAAATATTTTAACCGGATTGAGCCATATTCTCATGTGCACTCTATAGGGCAAGTACATGCTGTGTTCCTGGTTTCCTGCAGAAAACAGTGCATCAAAATCAATGTTGGTGCTAATCATCTACAAAATATCTAAACAATCCCCCAAGCAGTTGGTACACAGAAACTAATTCAATTGTGTAAACTAACTGACATATGAAGGGTTAAATATCCCGCACAGCTTAAGCCTTTGTATCCACCGCCTGCTTCTCTGTCCCTGTCCTTCATCCACTCCTTATCTCCAGGATGTGAAGCCCCTATCCAGTATACCGCTACTGGGCTATAGTGTGGAGGATTCCCCGCAGGAGCTCCAGGGTCATCCTTGTTTCTATTTAAGACAATCCAAAACCACCCACACTTTCTCCTGCGATGGCTTGGACCTCAAACAAAGCTGGCTGAACATCCTGAAAGCTGCGGTGACCGGCAGGCAGTACGACTTCAACACCAATGACTCCAGATGGAGCATTACTGGTAGTTTCAGTGATGGAAGCGCGAGTACTGGTGAGGAATTTCTCATCATTGGCAACAATGAAAAGAACTCCTGAATGCTTGAGATCAGGCACTTATGGAAAGTACACGAACACACAACAACAGACCAAGTTCCATTGATGTTAAAGACGGTAACGTTGAAATAAACATTTAATAAAATGAGTAAATTCAGGAATGTAAAGGTTGTTATTGACAATATTCAGACTGAAAACTGTGACTCCCTTAACGGTGGCGATGCACTTTATTTCTGAAATGTTTTTTTACGGTAAAGTAAATAAAGTGAAGGTGTTTTAACATGAGTCGGACTATCCCTTCACCTACAAAGATGCTTGCTTCAGCTTTGTACAACGTAATCTAAGGTGCCATGCGATGTGGCGGACACACGATTGCATGAGGGGTTCAGTGATACACAGAGGCTCTGTGGGATCATTTGTCTTATAAAACACATTCAACTGACCCCATTTCTTCACAGATACAGCAATTGAATATTTACACTCAAACGATAAACACCTAAAGAAAGTCTAAATAACACATTTAACAGAATAAACGATCAGTGTAAAATATAAAACGGCACAATAACATTGTGTCGTTTGTGTGCAGTAACCAAAGCACTGGGTTAGCTTCTGCAATATGTTTCAATGGGGAAGAAAAAAAGTTTCTTTTTCAGATTGACTTATTTCAATAGTGTTTTTTTTTTTTTTTTTTTTTTTTTCTTTTTTCAGCGCATGTATTTTCACATTGCAGTGATGTAATGATAGTCCAAAATACATACCCACAAAACACTGACATTGCTGTTCTACACAAATTGTTCAATTATACCTGATCTATGGAGGGATGCAAGCTAAAATCATAAATGTCCCATCAAAGGGAAAAATAACTAGCAAGCTTTTTAAGCCTCTTAGCTAGTTATGGTTTTATGGAACATTTAACTGAATGGTTCACTACTCTCACCAATCATGCTTCCAGCATCAACGGATTGGGTTTTGTTTTTTCGGCAAAACATTTCAATTGCTACCTATTTAGCGCTAAACAGGAGACTGACAACATTAGCCGCTAGCTGGTGAAGAAAGTCGAGCAGCTTAAAGCTTTTATTTTTCACAGACAAACAACGACTCCATGTTGATGCTAATGTGTCTTTTTCAATTAGGGGCCATTCTTCGCTACTTCACCAGCCATTCAAATTGTAACAATCCAAAATCAGATTAATGCAGCTTTGATGTTCTCACTTCCTTTCCGAATAACCAAGAACCTTGTTTCTTTTATGTCACTTATGCGCTACACGATGTTACTTCTCTACTGACGAAGCCGAAAGCATATGCTGCTGTGCTTCAAAATGTACGGAGCGTAAATAGTTCTAGTGTTGCGTCTTAACCGATTCTCTATGCTGCAGATGGGAGCTGTTAAATAACCAACTCGGTGTCTCTGAATTGAGAGGATCATCTGAAGTTGTGAACTGGCCCCCTGAAGGCCCGTCTCTGTGTTGATGCTAGAGCTGCAAACACAACTGGACATCTGAGAAAAGCATTCAAGACTAAACTGGCTCTTTGTGTAACCACTGCAGGCCCAGCGGACAGCGCCGCTGCAAATAAAGCCATTTCAAGTAGCCTTTATGTCCACGTGGACGTCTCCCCTTTTCCTGTTCGACATCATTAGAAAATCTGATTTGGTCTTTAAAGTAATTTGTCTTAACATTAAATGACAAACTCCTCAATTTGTCGCACCACGTGCCAGTGAAACAGCAGTGCTTACAGACATGGGTCTTGAAGACGAGGGTGGTTTGACCTGCTCGTGAGTTCGATTTCAAGTAAGGACGCCCTGATTCGGACATACAGGCTTAAAAATGAGATGTTTGAATCCAGCGCTTGATACAAGGAAAGCAACACTGGCAGAGAGGCGGACCCCATATCACACATACGCTAAACACACTATACATAAAGGATTATTTACAGAACGGCTACCTCTCTTTTTCTCTTTCATACATCAGTCCTTGGTACAAGTTTTGTTTGCTGAAAATCCACAAATCACTGGCTTCATCTTGGAAAAAGTCTCTCGCTCTGTCCGAGTACAGTTCAGGCCACTTTAGTGTTGATTAATCGTCATGGACCTGCCATCCGTGGCATTCAAACACGGCTCAGTGCTGAAATACTGCAGCTGTATCCGATCCAGAGAATCTCTTTTAATCAGCCGAGGGCAAGTAATCCATCCTAAGCCTCCATGAGAATGTATCCAAGTAGAATTGACAACATTACTCTTGGTGATAATACATGAAGATGATTGTTGCTCTTTCCAGCAGGTTGTGAGGGAGCACAACCACGGTGAACAAAAGAAGCACAGGGCTATATACAACAAAAAAAAGTTCTACCAGAGAAATTCCAAACGGTCCTGAAGACTCCAAGAAGCCAGTAGTGCAGCACTTGACGTTAGCTTGAGGCGAATCAACCCCCTTTTTGAAACCAGCAGTGATAAAAGGCGGAAAGCCAGCTGTCCATGATCTCTCAACTGCAGCACAGCTGCTCTGACACCAGCAGGGTGTCATAGCCATAGATCTCCAGCAGGTGGAGCAGGAAGAGCCTGTCTCCATGAGGATCCAGACCCATGGCCCTCACGCTCTCCTGGGTCAGCGTGGGATCGGGGCTCCCTGCCACCTCGCCGAGGGTCTGGAAAATCCTGTTGTTCTGCTCCAGGAAAAACCTGGAGAAATCATCATTTAGAAAGAAGGGTGAGTAGTTCTACATGGCTCTTCACCCAGCTCCACAAATACAATACTTGATTATTTTTTTTGCAGTTTAGAAAACATCTATAAAGCTGACTTTTCCCCTTTTTGTTTTGTCCCACTTGTGTGCCCTTTGTGAGATTTGTTCCCTGCAGTTACTGTGAGAGGAGGAGAAAGGGCGGGAGATTCTGTCAGCCTCATTACCTCTTTGATTCAATTGTTCTAAGCTGCCACTGTGCTGACCGTTCTCATGAAAAGAGATCTGCTCTGCTTACTGTGGTTAATCAGAGTTTTCACTCCACTGGCTGGTTAAATGAATAATGTTGTACTTACAGGATAAAGAGATCCTCTTCACTGGAAACGCAGTCACCATTCTCCTCCTGGGAGTACAGCAACATCTGCCTGCACACACACACACACACACACACACACACACACACACACACACACACACACACACACAATTTATTTCTAGCTGTTCCTTTAAAAGCCTGCAAGAGATTGTGCACAATCTGTGATGTATACCAACATATGTATTGCCTGTTTGTGGTACCCGTTGTGCAAGCAGCTCACAAATGTATACATTCAAAAACAAAGTCTTAAATAATTGACTAAAACTGGTGTGCACTGTAGTTTTCATCAAATGTTACTCAACAGGATGAAATGCTGTGCATTAGTTGGGGACTATTTTCAGCCACAGATGCCCCATTTTGATGGATTTAGGCAGCAGGACGGTGTATAGTGTGATTGACTCAAAATAAGTGACAGTGGCCATGTTCATCGTGATGAGGGAACAAGTCATCAGGTGCTACAGTGTGGCTCACTGATGCGTTTTAGTAGATTAAATTAGTCGATAGGTCTGGCCTTAAATTCCCAATTTGGTAATGAAGTAAAAGCGGTAGTCCTGGTTTTGGTAGTGTCCCCTACCTCTGTTCAGTGAGTTTGCGATATTTGTCCCTGTCGGCGTTGCTGAGGCGGAGCAGAGGCTTCAGGCCGTCCCTGTAGGTCTTTACATTCTGATTGTCTACATACACATCATACAGATCCTTCTTCTCCTCAAAGATCTTCTCCGTTGTACCTAAGCATACAAACACACACACAGGACCTCTAAGATTTGAGATTCCATTCGTACCTGCAGTAGATGTATGTTAGACCAACTAGTCCTTTTTCAGTGGGGCTTTTCACAAATGTTGAACATGCTTCGAGCATCCACTTACACGCCACGTAGGAGAGCTCGTTCTCCAGGGCACTGATGTCGGCCACGTTAACGTAGAAGAAGGGGCGGAACTCGGGCACAGCCTCGCCGATCCCGGGGATGGAGATGTTTGCCAGGCAACAGCAGCAGTACACTGCGAGGGAGGAGCGGGTGGAGGGTGAGATTAGCAAAATGAATGCACGAGTGTGGGAGAGATGGAGAGCGACGTAGGATGTGAATGAGTGCATAACATGTGGGCTGTCCAACACTGATACAGCTGGAGAGAAACTGCATGTGCGCTGATGTAAAATGCCCAGACTCAATACAATAAAATAAGACAGTTTCCGCTGTGTGTGTGTGTGTGTGTGTGTGTGTGTGTGTGTGTGTGTGTGTGTGTGTGTGTGTGTGTGTGTGAGCTCTTCAAAAAGTAAAATCATGAAAATAATCTTTATTTTTTGAAGTGGGGGACTATTTTGAAATGTTGTGAAATGCACTATTTCACTATCTTGACAAGAGATAGGTGGTGCAGGGATGATGTGTTTTTGAAACGTGAACGTAATCGGCAGAAGTAATAAGGTTAGTCTATAAACGCACTACACAGCTGAAAGAGTGGTATCACTCTTCTCATCTGACTCCAGGCAAGAACTCCCAAAATGTCAAAATACTAATTTACACTTCTATGGAAATGAATACATTCTCACCTCTGTAGCACACCACGCCCACGGGTGGAGGGGAGAAGATGAGGATGCGTCTGCGGAGGAGAGCCAGTTTCCACAGCACCATGATCTGCTCCCCAAAGAAGCGGATGAACTGGGACATGCAGCCTGCAGGGTGGGTGATCTGGTCCACGGGTATTCAAACACAGAGGCGCACAAGGGTACTGAGTCACACAGTGTGAAAAACACCAGCTGTAGAAGTGTAAATGTCCTTCCTACCTTCATCTCAGGGTGCATGCAGTGGTTGATAGCTGCTCCCCAGGCATTGGCTGGACATGCAGTGACAGCACCATCACCACTGGGGGGCAGAAGTGCTCTCTTGTCCTCATAGAAGGCCTCCAGGGGAGAGTAGTGGCCTGGGGCCTGAAGCTGGAGCCTGTGGCGGGGGATGAAAAAAAGAAGACATTCAGTGAATCATTAAATATTTTCACAAATTCGCTTTTTACTTTTAGGAAAACCTACAATCACAATACAGTTTCAGTTACATTCAGATATGTGTATGAATGTAGTTTTACCTGTTTAGCAGTTTGATTATTTAGACTCAGAGTATTTGGGTTTCTTGGCACCTGAACCTGGTCTTGATTGTAGACTCAACCTCTCTTAAAGTAGAATATTATCTGATCGTGACTGACTCTTACTATTATATTCATCTGGGATTAAATCACTTTTTAATCATATTTTATTTATAGTTTTCCCATCATATCACAAAGCAACAAAATCATAAAAACAAAACCGTACAACCTGATACCCACATCCATCTATTTCCTCACCTAAAAAAAGAAGTCATAAAATATATAAAAGATAATTCCTGCAGCAGTCTGTTATGATACAATACATTATCAAATTATAAATGATTCTATTCAGCTCATTGCTTGATTTCACACGAGGATTTAATCTTAAAATCTTTTTGTCTGACAAAGTCTAAAACTCAAAGATATTCAATTTACATTAATATAAAATAGAGAAAAGCAGCAAATCCTCACATTTGAGAAACTAGAACCAGCAAATGTTTGACATGTTTGCTTGATAATTGCTTATCAAAAGTAATGCAAACAAGCTTTCGGTCTGCATGCAAGCAGTTTTCTTTAATGTGTCAGCTACTCTACAACCGGTTATATACTCATATATGTATGTATATATATATATATATATATATTTAAGGCTGCAATTATTCTATGACAAGACACATCTCCATCTTATCATTCCTATCCTTATTAGCATCCTTAGCATGTCCCTGCAAAGCTGATGAGTTCTGTTAGCTGCAAGTGCCAAGAGAGGACACATAACAGGTCAGAAATAGAGGGAAGGAGGGATAGAGAAAAGAAAGGGGGAGCGTATCCACACATTCTTAAATATATTAACCACCTCATGACCAACACTGAGCCCTTTATATAACTGCCAAGGCAGTCAGCAGATGGGGTATCTGGAGCGAGCTACGTGGGTAATGAGTAAGGAGCGTGACCGCAGCATGACTGGAGGCCAGGCGAGGCTGGGAGTGTGGGAACGGGAGAGGGAAGAGCAGAGAGAGAGGGGGACAGAATATAGAGAGAGCTGTGCTCAAAGACAGAGTGTGACATCGGTGTGACAAATCTAGGGATGAAACACCGAAGTTCACGGCCCTGTACACAGCAGCAACATTATTAATGGGGAGTTTTTTTTCAGGATAATGGAAGTGTAGCGCTGTTGAGGGAGAGAAAACGGGAGTCAAGGAAAGTGTGAGAGTGTTCTATTTGAGATGAGGGAAAAGAGAGAAGAAGAGGAACTAGGCTGAGGAGGGTCATAAAGGCCCACGAGCGGCCCCTAGTGGCCATATGCGAACTTACCTGTGGACTCATATTGCCATACTTGAAACCTTTTACTACTAGTAATAGTAATATTAGTGGTAGTAGTGTCTTGGGACAAACTCTTAGAGGCAAAAAAAATAATAACTTGTAATAGACTTTGTTAATCAATTAATCATTTTAAGTCCTTAAGCAAAAAATCGAATAAAAAATACATGATCCAGCTTCTTAAAATTAGTTTTTTTGCTTCTGTTCTATGAACTAATAGACACTTAAAATTTAAATCTCAACTTCTAAGCCAACAGGGGAAGTCCTTAAAAGTGTGCTGAAAACATGGAAAGCATCTAATTCCACAATCTCCTGAGAAAGATTGTGTTAGGTGATAAAACTCCAGAACTGCTACTAAATGTATCTTTGGGATTTGAAGCGCCGGTTGGATGAACCGAGCTATTTTAAGTTGTCACTTTGTGACTGTTTGCATTTTTCACTATTTTGTGACACTGACGTTTTTCTGAAGTCTTTAGTTCAGTGAACGCAACGGCTCCTGCCCAGCAGATCGCTCCTCTTACCTAACCTGGTGCTCCAGAAAGCTCATGTAGCGGTAGAGCAGGGTGTAGGAAGGAGACAGGATCCCCACCGACTTCATCCTCGCCCCCCTCTCCACCGCGCTCTCCACCGCCATGTTGGCAAAGCAGGCGAGGCCAAAGTAGGAGCCCTTCCGGAAGTAGCTGTGGATGGATGGAGGGGAGAGAGGGGAGAGAGGGAGACAGGCGAAGCCATGAGTCATGAAAAGCAAAGGCTCTGCCAGATGGCTGGACTTCTTCTTCTTTTTTTTTTTTGCCAGGCAACACTTTGTGTCGCTCTGTCCTGCCAGGAGGAAGACATGGGGCCGCATCCTAATACAGAAAATGAGCTTCCTCCCCTTGGTAATGTCCTACAGGACGTAATAAGAAGGTGAATAACTTCCTCTCCTGATTGCGCTTACATGAAGTCTGTGGTGACCCGGTGGGAGCCGCTGGCGATGGCCTTGAACTCCACTCCTTCCAGGTCCATGTCTTTGGGCAGACACCACTCCAGCATGTTTCCTATCACACCCACACAACAGAGAGATAAGATGAAGCACCAGACGGTAAATATACTATCACCATTTCATTTCATGCTCATGACACCACAGTGACACAGACCGACTGACGCTCGAGGGGCAGCTGAGCAAATACGGCCTGATAGGAGGTGGTTTCCAATGTAATCATTAGCTACACTTAACAGTCAGTGGAATCTTTTTGCCGATAGCGTGAGTTCCATTCTTCAGATTGGGCCTACAGGTCTGTATCATCCACCTGCAGCTGAACACGAAAAGATGCTCTAGTACCACTTTGACAGCGGTTATTGACTTAAAGTATTTAGCTTTAAGTGTCGTGCAGTGCAAAGTGCCTATCAAAGCTATTTCCTGTACGGACAGACCAGTAGTAAAAGGCCCCGAGAGACACCACATTATTCTGTCACGATATATTTTACATCCCATTTGAAGCACAAAGTCAGAATGCTTTGTGATGTATCATGTGGCTCCTTGATGCTTGACTAAATTCTGTAAGAAATTCTCAAATAATGATTCACTCCTTCAGCCTTATGCCACATTATTATAGGCGAAGTATTAAAATGAATCCTAATCCTCTACTTGCTCTGGTTCAGAGTAGACTCAGAAATGATCAAGGGAAATCTTTAGGTTTCATTTGTTCACTTAACTTAACATTTCTTCCCCCATTTCCTGTCACTTCTCTGCTGCACTACCTAATAAAAAAAGCTCAAATTCAAATATTTGAATATGAAATCTGCCAGACACCCTTTTCTGCCACAATATCACCCTTAGAAAAACAACTTGCACCAGGTAAGTAGGCACATAAACTACACCTGAAGTGTTTTTGGGTGCATTGCGCCTCTTCAGGTAAGCAGAAGTGGAGCTTTTCATCTTGCCAACACTCTGACACAACATTCACATAGTGTTGTGGTGTGGAAGCGCGGGTATATTTTAACACAAGAGTGGCCTTTTAGAGTGCACAAACTAGATGTTTTGGTGTGAGCACTGAACCTACCATGGCTCTGTGCAATTTGTTACACACAGTTTCATCTTGTAGAATTTAATAATATACTGATGTTTTTCTCAACAGGTACACATATAATGACGCACCACAGCCAACTCTATTAATGTATCAATATATTTGATATTGTAGATCTTCCTACTGTATTTTCTGTAAATATATACTGTATTTTTCCTATTTGTCAAAGCTCCAATTAGACTGTGTCACATGGTGGTGGAGGAGTACTGCTATTAGAGACCCTTCCACTAAGCGAATATTTTAAAAGTATTGTTATAATCTGTTATAATTCCACTCGTTTCTCCTGGTCTCGTGTCAATTTGACGTGCTGCATAATCATAAAGCACCTGCAGCTCCACCCTGCAGGGAATCTCCTCTGTCGCAAACGTTCCCCCTGTCATGTTGAACCGTCTCATTTTAGGATTCTTAAATTGATGAGCCCTCTACGGAAGTAACCTGATCGGCTGCTTTTTCACAGGGGCTCAGCCTGTCTTCAACGTACCCCTCATTAAAAATGTATAGAGCTGCTCTGCAGAAACAGCCGGGTGATTGATTTCCATCACAGAACTCATCCTGACTTGTCTTGTTAGGCGAGAGGTGGCTTTTAATAATGTTAATAATGTCTCTAAACGGGTTTGCCGGGTCAGCGAAGGCCACACCTGTAGGAGAAGGTTCTGCAGACTTGGTAAAAACACGCGCTCTTCATTTTGGGCGTCAGACACAATATTGCTTGCATTAGACGAGTCAGGCTTCATCTGTTTTTATCGCTTCCTGGCTATGAACACGATCCCTTCCCTTCATTTTGTCGGCAGTTTAATATAGTAATGATAATTCCATGTCGGTGTAGTTGATGTCCCACCTGATCTGGTATTGAACGCAACCACAAAGACCGACACAATCTGGTCCTTTTCCTCCCATTTCACCATCCTGTCTTCCAGCGATAGCTCCATCGATCCTGAATCCGAGAGATGATCCTCGTTGGAATGCAGGGCTTCATCCTCGCCCGTCGGGTCGCTGGAGGTCGCGGGTGGGGCGCTGCAGCCGTCTGCGTTGGATACAGACCTGCTGTGAGTGGGACCCCCTGGACCGCTGCTCCACCCAAGCCCCGGTGCGGAGCATCCTGATGGGGCACGGCTGTTGGAGGGGCTCGCCAGTCGCTCCTTGGTGTGTACCGACGCCGGTGCCGCTCCGCTGGGCTTCTCCGCGGACGGAACCTCCTCCCAGTCCAGCAGAGGGGCTCGGTCCGACCGCTCCACCATCCTGTCGGCGGTCCCGCCTCGTCAGCCTCACAGATTGTAAATGATGTATCAGCCAACGGGCACCAGGTCCATATGCTGATAATTATAGCTTAAAGCAATTTCCGCATTATAAAGTTATTCTTTACTGCTCAGAACGGTTGCATTTTGCATCAAATTAATGTTGCGCGTAGCAGCGTTCACATCTGTCGTTTATAATCTTTCTTGTCTGAGGTGGTCATAAATGTGATGCTGTTTGGAGAGGGCAACTCCTTCGTCTGATGTGAGTTGCATTCAAAACAATTCACCCGTTACTGTCACCTTCCCTTTAACAGAGAATAGCTATTGAACATTTGGGAACAGCATACCGTTTTGGCTTCTTGAACGTACCCTGTACCACAGCGTCGAGGTGAATCTTTCCTTCACGAGCAGCACTTTCGATGAAGATATTTATGTTTTTATTAAGCACATTCAAGTGTTTGAATCTAAAAGACTGTTAATGTGTTAACTGTATTATTATTATTGTTAAAACCTATTAGTTGCTATTTGTTAATTTTACAGTTAACCATCCTTTTTTTTTTAAATGTGTCGAATGCTGCGAAACAAAACAAACTCGAGGCGAGAGTTGGCGACATAGTTCAGCGACACGTCAACCACACGGAAGAAGGTGCCTCTCCAACCTGCCACAGAACTGCTGATTGAAGGACCGTAGTCTTATCGAAATGGGTCAGTATTTTAACTATTGGTCAACGAAATATGTATTTGACCTTTGAGTACCTATAACCTACATGCGTATGAATAACTAGACAACGGTTTATCGCTGTTTTGTATCTGCCTGCTTCGTTTAAGGCGCAGTGCGACTGTCGCCTGCTAGCTAGCTAACGTTAGATAGCTATTTACTGGTGTATTTATGGTGTTTTAGTGTGGACAGCTCCTTAACGTTTTGTCTCCAAGCTATTCAGGCTAACTGTTTTATAATATCCACAAAAACATAAGAGAAAAGCAGGTCAACTTGCAGTCTTCAGTGAATTCAGTCATGCCATAACGTCAGTAGCTAAGCTAACCATAGCTAACCTGCTTAACCACCTGAGTAATACTGACTGATCAGGCCCTTGTCATGCAAATCGTGAGACAACAGGATACAAACAACCTAATTCATTCACGTTGAATTCAGCCTCATATTTTGGGACTTACGTTTATCCGTTTCTGTAATCCTCGTAGAAGATAAAGTAACCATTATGTTAGCAGGTGATTTAACTATTGTATGTTTAGTATTTGAGTTATTAAGTTATTGCAAAGTCAAAAAGGTTGACTAATGCCCACCATTGGTAAATGGAGCCCAACGTGATGCATTACACCAAACGAATCCAAAGTATTTAATCTGTGATGAATGTGAAGCAAGCAAAGTTTGCTGTTTTTATTTGTACATTTTCTATCCATCCGCTATTCAAGAGCTACTTTTCTCAGCACTAATTTCTTCTTCTGTTGGACCATTCTGTAGGTGGTTTCTTCTCTAGTCTCTTCTCGGGCCTGTTTGGCACCAGGGAGATGAGGATCCTGATCCTGGGTTTGGATGGAGCAGGAAAAACGACCATTCTGTACCGGCTGCAGGTTGGAGAAGTGGTCACCACAATCCCCAGTATGTACTGGTTTGATTCTATTTCTTTATTTCCATACGTACACGGTGTTCTCCTTACACAACATCCTTAGATTCATACCGGCTTAACACTCGGTTTGTAAACGCAGGCAACCGGTCTGGTCAACATTCTTCTCTTTGACTGGAGAGAAGCTAACAAAGAAATCAAGCTTCACAGGATTGAATTGAATTGATTATATCTGATAGAGTATGTGCAGCACTGTTAGGGAGGACATTTGGATACCGGGAGAAAAACAAATAGTTTGATTAAAAGGCCATCATAATGAAAAAATATTTGTACAATGTACCCGTCAGTTTGTTGTATACAGACATATTTATTCTACTGTAAAACAAGTTAATTTTGCCTGATCAAAATCATGAGTTAAATACTTAAATACATTTATTCACTATATTTTCCAATTCTTTCTTTAATTTTAGTCTCTACAAAAACACATTACTGTGTATTTTAGTGCATATCTTAGGGTACATCCCAAGTCTCTTAATGGTCATTTCCTCGCTTGAACCGGAAGTTGTTCTGTGCCGCCATATTGACGGCCGTCCCAAAGCTCTTATTTCTGATCTGAGGAGCGAGGAGGGATCTCCGAGGAGCCATGAGCGAGGACGCATGTGAACAGTCTTCCAGGAAGTGTTTTAACGGCCGACACGCCCCCTCATTGTTCATCAGTTATGTGATTGGACGCTGCAGCCGATCAGACTGATATTTCCCTCAAAAACTTTTGTCATGGATACAATTAAAGTCAGAGAGAGCTTTTTACATCATTCATCATCATTTCATTCAGTCACGTGAGGCAGATCATTCCTGAGTGTCGGGTTTGATGAGTTTTATCATTTAAGTTTAGCCTGAAACATGGAGCCTAATGAATTAATTCCGGTGTTCAAGAGAAACCATAATCATATTCTGGGTTAATTAATAATGACGTCACAATTTCAAAACGTGGACGCAAATAATTCATAAATAAATTAATCGCATTCCGTCGGTAGAAATCGATCCTGCCCCTATAAACAGGACACAGTTTGTTAAAGAGGTAACAGGCTACAGAGAGAACACACCTCTACAGTGATGATTACTGTCTTTATTAGTATTAATAGTTACTATTAAGTACAGTAATCATGTGAACAGACAAACTTCTCAAGAGTCTCTCCAGCTGTTAAAGCCGACTGACAGCTGCTCAAGCTGTGATCAGCGGCCGCCATCATCAGAAACAGACGTCGCTTCATGTGACGCTTTAGAGGAAAGGACGTCTCATGTCCTCGTTTCCTCTTTCCTCACATGGTTTCCTTGCGTCTCTCCATGCATCCCTGGTGGGAGGGACTAAAACGCAAGTGAGGGAAACGAGGATGCAATTAAGAGACTTGGGATGTACCCGTAGTCACAGTACTCCAGACAAGATGGTGGTATTAATCAGGCTCATATTCTCTGCTCTGATTGTGTCCATTTGGATTTCTCTCCACACAGCAATCGGCTTCAATGTTGAGACGGTCACATACAAAAATCTGAAGTTCCAGGTCTGGGATCTGGGCGGACAGACGAGTATCAGGTAGGTTGTAAGTGGCAGGTGTTGGTTCTGCTGTGGAGCTCCAGGGAGTGATTGTGTGGACGTCTATGTATGTCGACCACGGACATAGCTCTCAGCATCTTTGAGATAGCTTCTATAAACACAATATTTTAACCTGTCTTCATTCTTGCATCTCGCTCACTCACTCTTTGATGGACCTTCTCGTCTCCTCTCTCTCTCCCTCACAGGCCTTACTGGCGATGTTATTACTCGAACACCGATGCAGTCATCTACGTCGTGGACAGCAGCGACCGCGACAGGATGGGCATCTCAAAGTCTGAGTTGGTGGCCATGTTGGAGGTGAGTGGGCTTATTCTCAACTATAACGTGAACACATTGAACCATGTCAGATGTGAGGAGATTTCATTACAAGCTCCACCCATCATGCTAATGGCAGAGCTGATGGGATGTGTAACACTTTGTCCAGATGGGAACTATTCAACAATTATTAGGTACATTTCCATGACATCGAATGTCCGCAAAGGATCAATTCTAGTCCTTGTGAGAATACCCTCACTTCTCCTCTACTGCCACCATGAGGTCACATTATCCATTTGTCCAAAACTAGACCGTAACAGGATATTGTTTAAGTATTTGTTAGATGTGCTTATAAATTGGTGTATTTAAGCTTAAACTGTGAGCAAATAAAATAGTTTGACTCTTATAAGAAACAGGAAATATGAGTACTAGGTTGCTCGGGTCAAAACCATCTTGCTGCTTAAACTGCATTTGTCGCATCCAAATGGCAATATTCAAAATTAACAATTCAAAATTTTGAACATCTGGGACACTTTGTTTTTGATGTTTTCTGGGAATTTCAGAGAGCAAAACTAAAACCAGATAAAGTCGGTTATAAAATGAATGGTAGTTCAATTTGTATAAGTACTTCAGGGTGGTTAACCTGTGTTTTGCTTCCATTACAGATACTTTTAGCGGCCACATGACGAATCTCTGTCTCTCTCTACATACTTTTGTGACTTTGTGTTTTCTCCAGGAGGAAGAGCTGAAGAAAGCCATCCTGGTGGTATTTGCAAATAAACAGGATATGGACCAGGCCATGACGCCCGCTGAGGTGGCCAACTCGTTGGGCCTTCCCGCCCTCAAAGACAGGAAATGGCAGATCTTCAAGACCTCGGCCACAAAGGGCACAGGTCTTGATCAGGCAATGGAATGGTGGGTTTTACCATAGTTAATATATAGAGAAGTGATAGAAACGGGAGTAAAGTAACATTAAATAGGTGTGAAGTAGGAAGAAGTCAACATCCCATTAGATGTCTGCTGTGGTGAGAGAAATGAGTTATGTTTGTATTCATCCAGAAACACATATTTCTCAGTCAACGGTGAGCACACCAGCCATCTTAAAGCAAAAGACAACATGGAGAGCTCGTCAAGAAGCTCATTACACTACGCATGCTCTTCAGTATTGGTTGATTTTGCACAACATGTTATCTTTGTGTTTAGGCTGAATTCTATTTGCTCTCTGTCCCTGTAGGCTGGTGGAATCCCTGAAGAGCCGGCAGTAAAGGCTCCCACCCTTTCTGTACATACTCCTGACCTCTGACCCTTCGGTATGACTGACCTTTCCCTGAATCCCACTTTCCTTTGGACCTCCCCGATTGCACTCCTCCCCACCTCCAACCCGCCTGAAGCCTTGGCCAAGCCCTTCCAATTCCTAACGCCAACGCCTTTCAAGTCTGGGACTTACAAGTGAGGGCTGCAGTAACGTCTGGACTGGGCACACACACTCCCAATGCTGGTGGCACGATGAGGGTTTAAAAGAGCTGTATCGCTTGAGTGATGAACAAGTTAGTATCTACATTTTTGTATGTTTTGGAAATGCAAAGAAAATCCTCAACGTGTTAAATGTTACTAATTGTATGAAGTGTCAACACTGAAATACACTACCATGGATGACGAGGAGTCTGTAAATACGGCTCCTTGGAAAGCCCGTCCAGTCCGATCCTCTGTAGCGATCTTGAAGCCAGAAGATGATCCGTAGTCGATGGGTACCCATGTGAGCAAGGTGCAATGACGATCCACCGGGAGGCACAGACGGCACCAGAGGTTCCACAGTACAAATGTCAGTCCTGCTCCTGAACTACCAGAGATGAAGACGCGTCATCACTGAGAAGCAACTGCTCGATTGCCAACTCATTGGACCATTTTTGATCTTATGCTGGACTTGCCATACCTCTGTGTACAATCGGCCAGCTTGTAGAAAATGTTCCATTTATTTTTGGAAATTGAAAATTTGGCCTCAATCAGTGGAAAAAAAGAAGTACGACACATCCACTAGGTGTCCTCCGGCCAAGTGTTACTGCAGCCTGGGCTGTTTTTGTACTATATAGTCAGGCAGATACATGGATTTCTATGGTTTTTCTTCCTCCTGTTCATTTGTGTTCTCTTTTTAAAAGATAATTTAGTAGGTAAAGCCTTTTCTCTTTGAAATTCTTGAATGCATCTTTGGCACATTAGTCATTTAGTTACTGAACACTAACTGTCTGCTCAAAGTTTTATGGTTGCATATTTATATCTGCTTGTACAGTGAAAATGATTCTCAGTAAAGATTGCTATCGGTGATTGTACCATTCTGTGTTCGAGGCGGTTTGATTTTCAAAACTGAGGTAACAGAATTTGGATGATCTCTAAAAATTAGGTCTTTTTTGATAACAAGTTGTACATTCAACTGCACGGGATATAAATCTGAGGATAATTCTACATTTGTCAGCACATTAGAGTGACGACACAGCCGAACTCTAAAAATGGGCAAAGAGGTGGAGCGGAGTCGGGCCCCGGGTGACACAGCAGAGCAGAAAGCTAGCGGGCCAGCAACCTGAGACATCACACACCTCTCTGCGGGCTCTGGGGACTGACTTGCTTTTGGAGCCAGCCTCAAGTGGCCATTTAAAGAACTGCAGTCTTAAGCTTCAACGTGACCTGCAGGCGAAAACTAGAATAACTGCCTCTTGGTTGTTTGCCTCCACCAAACAGTCATGTAGTTTACATCCAAAGTCCCTTCATCGTTTATCTTATTAGACATGTGTGAAATGGTCATAATTACCATGATCTCGGTCCACCAAATCAGAATCGTTCAATCCTTGAGTCAAAGTGGATGTTTGTAGTTTGTCAGTACAGTATGTCATGAAATGTCAAAGGTTTGTAAATAATTTAATATATAACAAGTCATAGTACACTGATGTAAATCATCCAATAGTATAGTTTTTCATAAATGTAAAAATAGTCAAATCAATAAGTCAGTACCATTAAAATGTCATAAGTGTCAAAGAATGATAGTATATTGAGTCAAAACAATCCCTAAAGTATAGTATTTTAGTAAAAGGCATACTATAGTATTTCATAAAAAGTTACATCATGTCAAATGTATTAGTATGTCACAAAAAAGTTTGCATTGTTTGTCATAAAAACAATGAAGCATGTAATAAGGACATCATAAAAAAGTCAGTATAGTATATGAAGAAAAATAAAGACATAGGAAACAATATTATACTGTCATAAAAAATACCACAGTATAGTATTTCATAAAAATGTCAATTTGTGATAAAAACTTCCACAGTATTGTCTAAAATCGCCATAGGAAGAGTATACTATGTTAAAGTGATGGTATAGAATGTGTAAAACGGAGTATAGTAAGTCAAAGTATAGTATGTGGATATATGATGTCAACAAAAGTCATTAAAAGTGAATGTATAGTATGTAAAGTCATATGTTGAAAAAACTCAAGCTAAAGTGTGTCGGAAAAAGTAATTGGGCCTTCCCGCCCTCAAAGACAGAATGGCAGATCTGCAAGACCTCGGCCACAAAGGGCACAGGTCTTGATCTGGCAATGGAAAGGTAGGTTTTACCATACTTACTATATAGAGAAGTGATAGGAGTAAAATATTAAATAGGTGTGAAGTAGGAAGAAGTCAACATCCCATTAGATGTCTGCTGTGGTGAGAGAAATGAGTTATGTTTATATTCATCCAGAAACACATTTGTATTTATCATATTTCTCAGTCAACGTGAGGACACCAGCCATGTTAAAGCAAAACTACTGGACCCCCGATCACACTCCTCCCCACCTGAAGCCTTGGCCAAGCCCTCCAATTCCTTTGGCCCGTTAGTCACTGAACATTAACTGTGTGCTTGATGGTTTATGGTTGCATGTTTATATCTGCTTGTACAGTGACAATGAGTCGCAGGAGAGGTTGCTACCAGTGATTCTACTATTCTGTGTTTAAGATGGTTTGATTTTCAAAATTGTGATACCAGAACACGAACGATCAGTAAAAATGTCTCATCCTTTTAATTACAAAAAGTACGTTTAACTGCACAGGATAGTCTACACTTTGTTCACCGCCGGAAAATAAAACGTTTAGTTCCTATGAACTGATGTAAGCAATGCAGAGACATCCTGCCGTGAAACAGCAGTTACATGATATCTCATTTTAAAAAACTTATGTGAATCTTACAAAGTGAGACTTGTCTCTGAATCTGCAGCCAGTTAACCCACAAGAGCATGGACATGTCCAGCTAAAGCACAGGAGTCACCTTCCTGGGTTAACTGGCCCAGCTTTCGATCCCACCTACAGTCCTCGATAAACTGAAGTAGCCGCCAACTTGGCTCACTGCACCATGGCCAGGTCTTTGAGCCGTTGCCTCTTGGCTTTATATCCGGGCCGGAGGAACTCGATCTTCCTCTTCTTGGCTTCGATTTTGTTCCTGTGCTTCTTGAGTTTCTTCTTGGCTGCAATTTCTGGGTTCGCCACCGCCTGGGAAAAACAGAAGACAAATACATTGATTGGTAGGAAGGAAGTTGGCACTTTGTGCGTTAGTGAATGTGTTTTTGGTCATCGTACCTGCATGGCTCTGTGTCGTTTGCGTGCAGTTCGCCTCTGTGAAAACTCCTTCTGGACAGCAGAGAAGGCCAGAGAGAATCTCTCCAGCCCCACGTGTCTCTTCAGCAGCTCGATGAGCTCCTGTGCCAGGTTCTTCAGGGTGGGATCTGGACATAGAGAGAGATGTTTGTAGGAAGTCTGAGGTTTATTTCACTGATACATGACAGGTTAGGAGCTCTGGACAAAGACATTTTTAGGCTTTTTTTGTTTTAAAGACAGGTTAGGAGCAGGTACCTTGGTCTGCATAGGTGCTGTCCAGCTCCCTGTAGAGCGGAGTGATGAGAGTGGTCAGATAGGGGCCTAGGCGTTCCTTCCCCAGGTCCATGGCCATCGCTCCCAGGAACTTGAACACACACGTCCTCTGTGGCAGTGCAGAGAGTGGAGGGAAAGAAAAGGGAATTATTTTACAACCGAGACAATGGAAAGATCGTTTTCAAAGTTAGAATTTGACAGTTCTGGTTTATGTTGTCACAGATGGTAATTAAGGACTTGAGAAATCATAATTATTACATCTACTAGAAAATGTACCCGTATAATTATTTCAATGTGATAAATACATGTTGGTACCCTGCAATGAGATTGGATTTAAAGAAGGAAGACAAGGCTCTTTGGTTTATAGCAATCAGAGGACGTGTCTGAAGTTAACCAGGGAAACTATTAGCTTCTTTGTGTGCCTATCATTATGCTAACTAATGCTTCCTCATGGAGAGAGGAGGGTTCTAGAGGAGCGTAGTGAGTGAGTGTATCCTAAGCAGAAGCGGTGTGACATATAAATGGAGCAATTCCATGTAACACAGTTTGAAGAAACTGACTTGTCTAAGACTGACGCAATGACATCAAGGGTTTCTCATTTAGCATTTTTGGCTCCTCTGTCCTCGTGTCTCTTCCTGGCATCCATCTCTCACATCCTCGCTGTGAGGAGTTAAGGGGTGAGGAAGAGACGCGAGTGAGGGAAGCAAAGAGACACGTTAGCATAATGAACAGCGCCCGATGTGTACCTTCAGGGGAACTTTGGGAGTGTATGCTGCCTCTCTCTTGGCCATCAGCGACAGTTTCTTTATCAACCACAGCAGGGAAGGAGGCCGATCCTCCTTGTCATCTTCCTCCTCCTCCTCCTCCTCTTCCTTTTCATCTTCTTCATCCCCCTCTGCTTCTTTCTCCTCCCTCTGCTCCTCCTCCTCCTTTTCCACTTCTTCCTGAGTGGGAGTGACGTCAGACTCGGAAGAAAGGAGGTAGATCACCTTGCCGACGAACAGCAGGTTCTTGATCACCTGTGGGCGGAGCAGAAAATGTCTGTCAATCAAATCTCATTCGAATTTAGATTTGACAAAACTTTCCGGTGTGTTGTGGAGGAGTTTAGGCACCTGCTCTCCTGACGCTATGTCTAGGAACTTGGACTGTAGCTGATGGCAGAACGATAACGCCAACTCTCTCATCTGTTGTCAAATGTCATGAAGAAGGCAGAAAAGAGTTCAAATAATGAGAAGAACATGCAGAAATCTGATCACAGCTGAAAAAAAACAAGTGCTCACCTTCTTGTCCAGGCTGCTGGTGATAAAGGCTGTGGCTGGAGACTGAGGTGAAGCATCTCCCTCTCCTCTCCATGCAGCGACCAGCTGCTCTGCCTGATGGGCTGCGAACAGCTGACCAAAAAGCTGCGAGGCAGTCAGCCACACCCAGCAGTGAGGGTAGCGCAGGTGGGCTTCAATGTGACCTGCAGGATGAAAACTACAGTTACCTACAGTGGACGTATGCCTCCGCCAAACAGTCAAGTTGCAGTTTGCATCCGTGTCTGTCCAAAATGTCATCACTTCATAATTCTTTCCTATTAGACATTTGTGTGAAATTGTCACAAAGGAGGCACAAAAAATCATCTTCCTGTAATATGTGCAATAAAATATCATTACAATTGAGCGAGTGTGTGTGTGGAATGTGTGTCGGCCCTTTACCCCAGATACTACAGAGTGTGTCGTGAGGCTTGCTGAGCTCCAGCAGGCCGCAGTGTTTGCTCAGTTTGGTGATGAGAGTCAGAAAACTGAACAACAGCCTGTCTGCTCCTCTCTCATCCTGCTCCTCCTCAATCTGAAAGACACAAGAGGGTAAAGATGCTTCCCTTTCCTCGGGCTTCAAACGTGTGGCCAAAGACAGTGTGAATGCGTTGCCTCACGTCTTCGTATTTGGCAGGGTTTATCTCTTTCTCCAGCAGAGGCAGCAGGTCGACCATGCGACGGGCGAACTTCTCCTCCTCCAGCTCCACGTACAGACCACAAACCTGAGCCCCGAGACGCCGCAGGCTGGCCTGGGAGGGCAGGACGGGGCGGTTAGAGGTTTGAATGAGATCTTATTCAAAATCATTTAGGACCAACATACCAAAGCAAGAAACTAATATTACAAAATACAAAAAAAACAGCTGATTTGAATTCACTGTGTAAAATTGTTGCCCTACAAGCATGAGTGTATGCGTACCTTTTCTGCATTCAGCCAGGTGTTGACGAGGGAGAACAGGTTGTTCTGGTGGTTCACGTCCAGCTTGGCCAGCAGGGTCTTGATGGCCATGGCGGCCATTTTCTTACAGCGTGCTGAGTCATCGTTGACCACGACCAGGGCCAGCGGGGCGAAGAACAAGCCGCTGTACTTCAACAGCAGCTCCTGAGCGGGAAAATGAGGAAGTACGGAAAGTGCTCTGG